TTTTTTTTTCTCAAATGAAACCGCCGCTCACATCTAGGCGTGAAAGACAAAACCGCCGCTCACACTAATTGTCCGTTTTCAGAGAACAGCGAGAGACGGAACTGCGGTGGTTCCTCGAGTGTGCGGTGAGCGGAGCACCGTGCCGCTCGCCGTGAGCGCCACACTGCGCTATAGCCCCAGGGCGGCGGCGGGGAGGGGGGGGCGCAGCACTTCTGTGCGTGGCTCCCCTCGGTAGGACCCGTGCCAGCGTTTCTCTGCGCCAACGACCGTGCCGGCTGGCAGGTGACGCTACGTTTTGTTCGCGGTGGGGTTTACCCCACAGGGCAAGGTTGGGGGGGAGGACCCTTGCAAGGATGGTGGTTGTAAAGTTACATAACTAGCATCCCTCCGTTAATTTCTCGCACGTGCAGCTTCCTTTACGGACGCCGCCGTCCGTGCAGGTGCAGGCTTGTACATTTTATTTCACGGTGGGGTGTTATTTAGGGTTTGTTCCTCTCCTTGAGCACCCTGTGGTGCGGTCTATGCAGGAGTCCAGCTTGTTTGTGCAGTCGGCAAGTCATAGAAACTTCCCCCTCCCCGCAACTTTCCATCCGTTAGGGCTTGTAAAAAAAAAAACCACTTGGCTGTACCAAAACTCAAAACGGCGTGAAATTCCTATAAAGATAACTGGATGAAAAAGCATGTTCCTGGAACAGTGAGCGGTCTCAGCAGCCTGCACGGGTGTGGCCAGTTGATACGGTACCCTAAGTCAACCCGGCGTTACCAAGCATCCCGGCCCGGTGCCTCCAGACTCCACCCACCTCTGCTGCCCATGCTTGGGCAATAATCACAAAATCATGCGGTTGCCGCAGACCTCTTGGGCAGCGTTGCCCAACAGGGCATGGCGTTAGACGACAAACCAAGGTTTTATGTGCTTGGGTTTTCGACATCGGAAAGAGCTTTCCTAAAAGCTGGCGGAGTTGGCTTTGCCAGTTGAAAGGGTCGCAAGTTTCCATTCACCCCAGGGGGAAGGGGATCTCGTGTGACGTGAGCCGGTTTGGTGGGTGTGAATGCCGTGCCCGAAGAAAAGCAAAGCAGAGGGGACATCGCACTGTTGCCCGCGTGCAGAGGTTAGGATGTATATACGTACGTATACTGAGCTTCTTTCACGCCGTACGTAGCCAACCGTGCTGAAACGGAGGTGCGGGACGCCGTGAGATTAGACAGAGCATGTTTTTTCCCTGCCACCTTGTGGTGCTTTTAAAGGGTAATTTCTTCCTCACCCCGCACTGCCGGCCAAGGTGCCTCTCTCGTCAATTCAAATTGCTGTATGTGTGTGTATGTTGAACCTCTTTTGTGCCTACGTCGCCAACCGTGCTCATCGGAGGTGTGTTGTGTGTTCAACATTAGAGGGAGCTCAAGAGAGCCCCTCTAAAAGGTATTTGGCCTACTCTTCCAGGCTGGCTAGACATCTTGGAATTTGTTCGAATACCCACACTTTAGATCGACCACTGCATTGTACCCATTTGTATTGCTGGGTGGACAGAGGCTGGGTGAATTTTTAAAAAAACCTGCACCATTGTTTCAACTGCAGTGCTGACAGATGGAACTGGCACCCCCTGGATTGCAAGCCCAGCATGCTAACCTATTATACACAATGGCAGCATCCATTGTAGTGCTAGTGGTCAATATCAATGCACTATTATACAGTAATCTCAACCGTTTTATTACAGTCAAAACGCATCAACGCGCATACAGCATAATTCGCTTTTTCTAGTGCAATTTTCAAGAAAAAACAAACATGCACCGAATTGGATAACTCGACAAATTCTCCAGTTGGACCGTCTACCGTGCGTGCGTGCGTGTGCAGGTTTTTTTTAGCGTGCCTAATTTCCACACTATTCCCCATTTAGCTCAATTTAGCGCAATTGGAGAGAGCGGGGCGCTGAGTGGCGCGTGTTTGTGCTGCGCTGATAACGCTGGGCGCGTGTCTGCTTCCCCGGCGCTAATGCCTTGTATGGGCACGTCTCGTAAACACAGGCGACGCTGCCGAGCCTCAGCTGCGAGTGCGGTGAAGGAGTCGTTCAGAATCGGTAGAACCACAAATGGAAAATTTTAAACTCTCCACGAGTGTGCGACTGTGGTCATCCAGAACAGACCGTAACAACGTATAGCGACGCAGTGACCCGATCCACAAATACGGAGACATCAAAGCGATACACTACTCCGCAGCTCCTGATGCGGTTGTTTGGCTTGCGCACCTGAATGTGAAATTGTAGATGTTGATCCACATCTGCCACGCTGAAGAAGGTAGATCCAGGAGTGACTCATAAGGGCCTTGTGGCAACGCTGAGTGATACGCTGGGTGCTAATCTTTGAAAATCCTACCAGGGGGTGGGGCAGGGCCTGACCGAAATGTTAAAACTAACCACAAACAAAAACTTGACTAAAATATGAATGTGTCCCTGTGTGGTAATGGTTTCGGTGGCTCTCACCTAGTTATAAAGCAAGACGCATGAAGCACAAATTCGTGTTGTCTTGTAGACACGTCACGAGGTGGGGGGCTTTCTCTGGCTTGGAGTCCGAAGCCTCGGTCGTGAGAGAGAAAATATTGAAAGTTACAGCCACGTGATTTTTCAGGAATGTCGCCGTAGCGCCCTCTAGTGACATTCCAGTCACGCTCTCGAGTCCTTTCACCTCCATCCACCGGGGCTGACTGCCCCGTAATCCTGGCCTACATATCACGCGCACTCCGGTCATCCTCGCAGCAGCTTTTGACCAGCCATCGAACAAAGACAATCGCGTGCTTTCATATGTGCTTTTGCGGCCGCCTGGAATGCTCTTCCTGCCGATATTAGGAAGCCACTGCAGCTATCCACTTTTAAATCCCGATTGAAAATGTATTTATTTTAGAACTGCTTTTTGTGTTTAGTTTGCTGTTCTTCCCCTACACCTCCGATGAGCATGTTTGGCTACATACGGTGCAAACCAAGTTCAACATACATACATACACCACGTCGCATGGTGGATTGTGGGAGCAGCTCCATGTTAGTCTGTGGAATTGGGCACACAGAGGAGAATTTGACAACGCACTATTGGCAAGACATCATCTTGTATTCTAGGGTGAGGATTTGAGAGGTGAACCAGCAGTATTTTATTGATAGGAACATACCTCAATGGGCTGTATTGCCAAGAATCAACATTAGTTTTATAAATTGAGAAGATAGGGCAAATTTGTACTTTTCCAGGTTCATTTTACTTGAAGTGTAAAGGCTGGTGAATATGAAATTGAATTGTATGTTTGCGTATATGTATGCGCGCACATGTATATGCATGGGTTTTTGGAGTTTTGCCGTAAAACATTACAGTCCAATTTGCGACTCGCTGGTCAGCGAGGCATAAGCGGTTATGTTAAAAGGTATGACATGTGGATCTACAGAAAATGACAATTATATCACCATACACATTGGTTAATGAAGAAAAATAAAGCACAAGCTGCTTTAAACATGCCCTTTAAACATGCCCTGCTTTAAACTGCCTTTTAAAATTAAGCGAATGTATGCGAGATGAATAACACTTTGTTGCGTGTGAGCATCTATAAAGAACGACAGTTACACCCATGCACAAATAAAATACCCTGAGTGTAGGCAGTTCAATTGGTTCGGGGCCCATATGTGACGGTCCGTAATGTGACATTGCTCCGGACTTGTCTTCAAGAGGCAGTGAAACAAAAAGGAGTGACTTTTTCTTAAGGGGGTTGTCGAAGTTTGTGCAGATTCCTCTTCCACCTCTGGCGAGCAGCCGAGCAGCGCAAACCGCACGTAATAAATGAGAAATGAGTGCAAACAAAACAACCCACCTTGTTCCTGGAGATCAGGGCGCCCGTCCAACACAAGCACGGACTTTCGCTCGCAGCTGCACATGTGTGGAAACGTTATCAGGCCTGGAGCTGCGCGCGGGTGGAAATTTGATCGAGGCTCCTCTGGATCACATGGCCATGTGTTTTGTGAGTCGTTTGTGGTGGAAGTGGCGTTGGATGGAGGTGGGGGGGGGTGGTGGTAGGGGCGCGTCGGTCGTGCCTGGGTTTTTGCTTCCTCCACACATGTTGTGTCGGGCAGGGCCAGCAAGGGGCGGCTCTTGGCGAACCCGGAAGTGAATGTTGTTTTATACGGCCGAAACGAACGGAGCAGGGAATAGGGAGTGTGATGCTGCAGAGAGAGAGTGTGAGTGAACGTGTGTGTGTGTGTGTGCACGTGTGTGATCTGTGCGAGTGTGGGTGTGCCTGTCCGTACTCGTGTGACGGTTCTGCACGACTGTGTGTGTGTTTAATCTCGGTGGAACTGTGTGCGTCCGTAGATCTGTAGTTTCTCTGCGTGTGGTTGTGGGTGTGACTGTAAGCATATATCTGTGCATCTTTACATGTCCTTATGCATGGCTGTGTTTTGGTGAGCATACCTTTTTCTCTGTGTATTGTGTTTTGTGGGAGGAACTGGAGAGCATACTTATTTTATTCCCAGTCTCTTCTAACATTGGTAGCAATTACTCTCATATCTGAACCCATCCTAGACCTCTCCTCAGTCGAGTATCTAGTTTGTGGTGCATAAACATAAGCTGTGGGGAGACAAAGGCGGCCAAGCGTGGTTCTTGCCACATTACCCCCTCGTGTGCCGTGCAGACCTTAATCTGTGCTCACTATGCGCACTTTCCGCAACAGTCTGTTTAAGGGTATGCGGAGCAGTCTTTGTAGCTGTGTACGTGTAACTAAATGTATGCATGCATGCGTATGCTTATTTTGTGCACATGTGTCTTATGTGTGCTTCTTTGTGTCTTTTAAGTATAAGTTGTACAAAGACCCTAAAGATCCACGTCCCTCTTTGTTCAGTGCCTTGAAACGTCGTCACGTTTCCACTCTCGGTAAAAAAACTAAAAATCGCCGTCTGTCGTTGTCCATGCGCCGCGCGTGTCCCCGTCGGCATTTTCAATCGCTCCCCTTTGAATACTCGTTGTTCTCTCGTCATCAGAACCAGAACAACCGCGATGCATGTGCCGAGGCCCTGGCCCAGGCGAGCAACAAGTATCTGGACAGGGACTCGGAGGAGACCGGAGTCCTGGGAGGGGGGGGCGGCGGCGGCGGCGGTGGCAGCATCGGCGGCGGCGGCGGCGGCATTGCTGGGAGCCCCCTGCACACCCACACCATCCACCTCAACGTGGGCAATGGCAGTAGCCACATCTGGCTGCACAACAACCCCTGCAACACAGGGGTTCCTGCCCCCCTGTCTGGCACATCGGTGCTCGGAGAGTTACCCAGCCAGCCCATGGGCCGCCGCGATTCGGCAGGCGGTCTCCACGCGTACCCCATCTACGCCGTCACAGGTGAGAGGTCTGCTGCCCGCCGAGATTTGGTTCCTCTGCGAGCCTTGGCGTTGAAACTCGCGGCCCGTCTTGCCGAGGTTTTAGTCCGGCTTGTCTTATCTTAACGTGATTTATCTTAAAATGGGACCTTTTTTTTTGCCAGTATCAAAGTATGAAAAAATAAGAATAGGTTTTACCCTTTCTGGCAATAAAACAGGTGTTAAGATGTTCAAACACCAAATATCAACCTTTTGCATGTTCACTACAAGCACTGCGTGTGATTAATGCGAACTTGAATCCTTGCAAAAGGTTTATATTTGGTGTTTGAACATCTTAACACCTATTTTATTGCCAGAAAGAGTAAAACTTATTGTAATTTATATTACCGCCTCAACCGAGCCGCTTTACAGAGAATTAAGAACGGTACAACATATGAATGTAATGGTGGAGATGAGGTGAATGAAATAGATGAGCGGAAGCAATGGGTGGCGGATCTGCGATGATGCGTGAATTTGGTGAAAGCGAAATTGATGACAGTAAATGATGACGATTGTATTGAATGAATGGGGTTAATGAGTGATCGCAATATAATGAGAATATGAAGAGGGAACAGCGGTGGTGGTTATGACGGGAGATTAAGGGGTCATGGGGCAAGCTAGGGAACGGTAAGTGAGTTTTGAGTGTAGAGTGGAAACTAGTGAGCGAAGTTGACTGTTTAATGTTGAGGTGGAATTTTGTTCCACTGAAGGGGGGCGAGAAGAGAGAGCGAAAGCGTGGATTGAGCACAAGGAGGAAGAACAAAGAGAGACATCAAAGATTGAGAATGTAGAGGGTGAGAAGGCACAGCAAGTTACAGCGATAACTACCTAGAAGGTGTGACTAGTGTTAATTAGCCTGTGACCTAATTGCCCAGATTGTGGCCGATCTCGTTAGATCTCGGAAAATAAGCGAGGCTGAGCCTAGATAAGGCTTTGGATGGGCGGCCAAAATGGAAACCGATGTTGTAGGGACTTCGTGATGTTTGGCACGGATAGATGAGGGTTGGGGAGCTTTTTTCAGGGCACGTGAGTGTTCTGATGCAGGGATATCTGGTGATGGGCACAGCCGTACCTACCACCAAGAAATGCATGAAGCTTCATCAGGAAATGAGGCTTACTGTATGCGAATTGAGCCTCGTATTTTGTAATCTCTGCCTATTTTCTCTTCTTATCCACAGGTCTTGTGTTTAATGGTTTGTGGTACAATATTTGGGTCTTATTTCCGTGTGTTTATGTTTGCGTGCATTACGTGCATATGCAAAGTTGAGAAGAGAATAAAAGCAGCACTTAGTTTACGTGCACGGGAGTTCCATTTTCAATCCACGCGAAAAAAGTAAACGCGAACCAGACCGGATTTTCCATAGACCCCCGTCTGTCGCGTCCACTGCACTTAGTGTGAATTTCGTGGAAACCGATCGATCATTCAATTAACTTTATTGGCTTCACCAGCGCCAGCTGCGGGCACACGGGGAGGATCTGGCCAAAGTGAACCACGTGCCCAAACTGGAAACGAAACCCGGATGGTGCACGCAAAATTTGTAGACCCGTCAATCTGCTTTTTTGAAAAGAAAGGAAGAGAATTGGTGTCCCGATTTCGAGGGAAGCCATCTGTTTTCCCAATATTCGATTTCGTTCGCTGGAGGGGAGAAACCGCGAACAGTTGCTTCAAAACGAGTAACGGAGAACGTGGTGATCTAAGCGGCGGCGATGGTTACAGGAAAACTCTGCCACATCCTCGGCAGGACCCAAGCACGCGGCCCTTGAACATAGCTCGGAGGAGCCTGCTGTATTTGCCCTCAGCGGGTTACTTATGTTATTCATGTTCTGTGGGTGGGTGAGTGCAGGCCTGTCGCAGCAGCAGCCACAGTCCATCAAGGTGACGCTGAAACCGAACATGCAGACGGGACGCGGCACACCCACGTCGCTGCACATCCGCGGCGGCCTGAACCAGCAGCCGGCCCAGCAGCAGCAACAGCAGCAGCAGCAGCAGCAGATGATGCAGCAGACGCAGCAACAGCAGCCCCCTCTGTATATGCAATCGTCCAAGCAGCCGTCCCTCTACAGCATCCCCACCGTGTACAGTTCAATACAGCAGCAGTCGCAGCAAGCCCAGCAGCAGCAGCAGCAGCAGTCGCAGCAGCCGACTGTGTACAGCTCGTCGCAGCAGCATCAGACATCGCACGTCTACATGCCCGTGTCGTCGCCCACCAGCGTGTCGGCACACGTCCAGTTTGCGCAACCCCAGTCGCAGCTCGGATACCTGAACTGTGGGCCCAACGGCCTGAGCTCGTCCGCGTGCGCCGGCCCCACGTCGCTACCGGCGCAGAGCCCCGGCGTCTCCGCCGCGTGCCCCTCGCCGGCGTCCGCCGTGCCCACGGCCACGCGGAAAAACCAGATCGAGATTAAGATCGAGCAGCCGCACCTACACTGGGGCAGCACGGGCGGCGTGAGGAACGCGGCACCGTCGCTCGTGTCCCACGGTAAGCCGGACCGCGATAGTGCGGTCGATGTGTGGATGGCTCGTCAATTGTCCGCCGTTCGTGCCGGGCGTGCAGCGATTTGACGCAACAGTCTTCGCGGTTCGATGGATTGTGGTCAAATCCGCGGTCACAGTTCAATTCACGAGTTTGATGCCCTTTTCGTCTCATCTATCTGATTTCGTTCGATTCGCCTTAGGGTTGTTCAACTGGTGTCCCACGGGACAGATGTGACCTGCGAAGGCTCTTGTAGTGGCCCACGGAAAGATCTTAAGACGTAAAGAGATGCATCTTGGCGCAATGATAGCAAGATAAACAAGAGATGAAATGACTATAAATAAAAGGCACAGACGTCATGTAAAATTTGACGTCACGGCCCACCAACACACACAAATTTTTGTTCATGGGCCAGAGTAAAAATTGGCACCACCTAAGGTAGAAAAACATCAGAACCAATTTTTTACATGAAGAAAAAGAGTGATCTATTTTCACACCTCTGATCAGCACAGTTGGCTACGTACTGTACAAGAGAAGCTCAACATACATACAGCTCGCTAATTTCAAATTGGTCATCACATAATTCACTGTTATTTGCCATGTAAAAAAAAATTGGTTCCGTTAAAGTGTGTCACCTCAGGTGGTAACCGACAAGTAGAATATCTAGTCAGGGCTCTTACAGTAATGTGGCATGGTCAGTAAACATAGTGAAGTACCCTGTCCTAAACGATATATTTTGCATAGATGATTAATGGTGTGAAGCAGGTGGCATGTTGTTTAAAACACTACACTTTAAACCCGGAAACTTGAGGTCAATTCCCGGCCACGGATACAATCAGTGGCGTGTGACTATCACGAGTCCTGGGACCCAGTCCCCTTCTCTAACCCATGCTGAACTACACGGTGAGGTATTAGGAAGCCACTGGAGCTATATATGCAACTGGAAATCTAAATTGAAAACTCATTTCTTTAGAACTGCTTTTTGCATTGAGGTTGAGGCGCTTACCCCCGCGTGCCTCTGATTAGTGCCGTTTGCTTCGTACCGTGCGAAAGAAGTTCAACGCACGTGCATTGTGAAACAAACCCCCATGACTGACACAGTGTGGGGAGTACGTCATACAGCAGTGGATTGACAGAGGGTTATAAATGATGATCATTATTTATTTTGTAATTCACGAGTAATGGGATTCTTCTTGGCGACAGGTTAATCACAATGCACGGGCCTTATACTAATGGCACTCAATTCGTTCACATAGCAGCTCTGAAGACCAAACAAAAACCTGGTTTGATTACCGTGCAGCATTTGTTCTTTGCAAGAGCAATGCAAGACCCGTGCCCCTTTTGTGGCTAATGACGAGGCCTGAAGTAGTTCGGTGACATCGTCCTCGTTGGGATGTCTTCCGGCACGGGAGTAGTGCACCGCTTGCTGCGGCGGGAGTTCTGATTGGATGACAACGTGGCTTGTCGTTGTCGCAAGCCTCTCGCGCGTTTGGGAGGGGGGGGGGCATGTTCTGAGAGCAGCACTTTGAGCATCTTCGCACAGATTACGTGCAGTGAAATTAAATCGGAGGAGCCCTTCTGGAACGCAGTAGGAGGACGGTCCCCACAAATTGGTCGACCTTCTCGTAACAATTTTTAGAATCCATCCAAAGAATACATCCGGGGTGTCATTTTGAAGGTAATTTATATATCACTTGAGAAAATATAATGCTTGTTTGTCGAATAAAGACGCACGTACCAAAAAACAAATGCACCATCAGCATCGCCAGTCTGGATTAAAAAAAGGGAGTACGTCTGACACCGTGGTATTATCCCGTGTCACAAAAAAGGTGGACATTTATATTTGATAATTACATAATTCCTAATTTGTTGACAATCCTATGCCCAATGAAAAAAAGCCACTTGGCAATCACAATGATTTCCCCACATCTTTAAAATTCCTGGAATGTATGTCCAAAATCACGGAACGTTTGACGAGTATCTAATAGGAAAACTACCGGTACCGAATGAGGCAGTGAGTTGATTTTGAATAGGAAGGAATGTGCCAATCTATCTCCCTGAGCCCTCTCGTATAATTGCACAAAATCGTTGAGCAACTCTTTTGGCAGACTGTGTGCCAAGAGATAAGTAAATAAACAGAGAATGCATTTATTTCATTATTTTTGGCTTACTTCCCCTGTTTCACTTCATCACCCTCACCCATAGTTTGGTGAAAGTTGACGTCTGTAGACATTCACAGAGCTCATCAGACCACCGCCATAACGTGTGAGAGTAACGGAAATGGAGTGATTGAGAGTGTGTCAGATTTCCCGTTGGGGTCAAACGGTGCCATAAAAAAACACTGTCGTCTGCCATGCGCAGTGTTAATTGAATCGGCAATTTTTCATTTTAGTGTTTAATGCTATATAATCTGGAGACAACAACATTTCGTTATTCTCTGAGGCCAGACGACTACAATGGTCAACTATTTAGTGCACTCTTGGATATGAAATATCGACGTGAGGAGTGCGCAATTCCTACCCCACTCTAATATTATCAGTTAAGCGAATCAGTGAATTCAATAAATGACCTTGTATACATATTTAAACAATTACCATGTTTGATCTTCCTCAGTCTGCTGCAGCCTCTTAACATCTTGATTGATTCCACTCTTTATACTCTTTGATTCTTTCTGTAAAGTCACGTAGGTATAAAATAAAATAAATCACGGCGTTTCGGGCGCAACACAAGCGTCCATCATCAGGTGGGAAAGCATGGTCAGCTGCTGAGGCAGACTGTTTTAAAAGGTTTGAAATGGGTGTAGCTCAAGGGTTATTGTTTCCACTGTAACAAAATAATTATGTCCCTGCATAGTAAGTGCTATTTCCTAATTACTGATGCCTCAAAAGTACAGAGAATAGTTATTATTCCCCACAAACTTTACTTTTGTGACCAGGAGAGTGATATTTTGAAATGTATCTATTTTCAATGAGAAAACGTGGTGTGCGTTTGTGTTTTTCGTCCACATAAAGTCCTGGTCACCAAAGCAAAGTTTGTGGGGAATAATTGCCATTTTATATACTTTTTAGGCATAAGCAATTAAAAAGTAACACTTCCTACCCTGGGACAAAAATCGTGTTACATAGTGTTATCTTAGTCTGCACCTTCATTGAGGGGTCGATGGTCTGGGATGTATGTTGCACTTCTTTCGCACCATACATAGCCAACCGTGCTTATTGGAGGTGTAGGGGAAGGAAAACAAACTAAACACAAAGAGTAGTTCTAATGAAATTCGTTTTCAATATAGATTTAAAAGTGCAGTGGCTTCCTCATATTGGACGGAAGAGCATTCCAGATGGCCGCAGAAGCACATCTGAAAATGCGCGATGCAGTGACCATCTTTATTCGATGGTTAGTCAAAAGCCCCTGCGCTAATGGTCTCGGCCTAGTCAGTCATGCATTGGTCTTTAATGGGTTGTCTTTGTCATGGTTATGCTTAATGATTTTGGCCCACTTTTATTCATCGTTGTAACTCACACTTTTATATATAAAAAAAACTGTCAACCGATATTTTCACAACTTTTGTATTACAAACCCGCTTTTGCATCTTAATTGTTCCGTTCTGTAGTGACGGTGCCAAGAGAGCTGTGCCGTTCATTCCGCGGGACTCATGTTTGCGCTCATTCCATCATGTAATAGAGTAGAACCCCTCTTAACGAACACCCCTGTTAACGACTAATCGCTTAACGACGGGCCTCCATCGAGCCCAACGTGTTTGCTTACTAACCACATCCCCCTGTTAACGACGGGCTTACGACGAGGACGCGACCGCCAATTTCGGCCAATCGGCGAGCTCCAATGTGGTCTGACCAGGCCTCGGCCAATCAGTGACGTCTATCCGTGAGCGTTGGGACATTGTTTGCATTCAGTGTCTGCTGCGCTTTGAAGTGGAAACATCTCTTTTGAATTCTTGGTCTACTGTATTTCCTATGTATTTCCTATACTCGCTTAATGACCTAATCACTGAACGACCGGGGTTCTACTGTGCGCGTGGTGTGAATTGACCCCTGATGGTGGCGTCGTGCGCCGTGTGTTGGGGACAGGCCACGGGATGGGACCCGGCCCTGGCGGTGGGCGTGGCATGGGCCAGCCCACCCTGCTTATCGCCACCTCCCCCGCATCTCCGAGCACCAACAGCACAGCGGTGACCGTCGGGGGTAGGACCAGCTCAGGTGAGACGGGAATACAATTTTCGCGCTGGCGTCTACGATGGTACAACCGTCATCTTCATTCGGCTTGTAATGATGCGTCAATTATTTGACTGATGATCCATTCTTACGTCGACGCTATGTGCCTTGAATCATGCGCATGAGATTGAGCTTTTTTACGATTGTATACAAATGATTTTGGAAATGTAATATTTGCGATTATGGAGTGAACGAAACTGTAAGATGGCAATCGAATGACAATCCCCAATCATGACAGTTCATCATATCGCTAGGGGAGTGAATCATTTTCTGCCTAATCATCGTCAATAATAATATATTTTTTAATACAATTATCGTCATCAACATCCGGTATTCGCTGTTAATAATTAGCAGCAGCATCATCATTCATCGTATTGTTTATCATCATCACTATCACTCGAGGCACCTTTCACGATCATATTCCCAAGCAATAGGCACACTGCCGCATTGCCCTTTTTTTAAACGGAGGTGGTTTTCCTTTGGGCCTTAAAAACTGCGATGCTCCCATTGAGCGATGGTTGACCAGGTGTCTTCAATTCCCACACAGTTTGGTGAACACACACGGGCCTCTGTTGTGTCGGTAATGCCTTTGTTTTGATTGCCCATGTGATTTATTTTGAACTCCCATTGTTTGCGTCTTGCTGTGTCTGTTCTGCAGTCACAGACAAAATATCTGGCAGGGAGAATTGTGCGGTTATTTTAGTTTCGACTTTTTCCATCCGATCATCACGGTTAATGCTACATGTCCACAACAAAGTTAATCAGCAACAATGAATGGCCAAGTAAAAAAGGCAGGTTAAAGTGCACCTTTGCAGTGTATATATGTTCAATATATAGCTTCAAGGATTCAGTTTATGTTGCGTGTGTTATTTATATATATTTTTGTTGAATGTAATTGCATTTGTCTCATCCGAATGTAACGATTTTGTTTTTAGTTTTTTGGCACCGAAATATTGATTTCAAGCCACGCCTAAACCAGTTTATCACGTGGCTTAGAAACTTATTTTATGACGTCATAGTTTGCGCTTTGCCCAAAAGCTCAGTTTTGCTTTGGCCTCGTAAGCACCACCGATCCCGACAACCCTCCCTCGGCAGGGTCCAGCTGCACCGACACGCAAGCGGGCTCGTGCGTGCAGCCGACGCTGATCCGGCACCAGCCCCCGCGGAGCCGCCCCACCTCCATCACGACGGCGCCCGCCTCCCCGGCGCCGGCCCGCGTCATCGTCACGCAGCCCAACACCAAGTACACCTTCGAGATCACCGTGTCGCCCAACAAGCCGCCCGCCATCTCGCCCGGCGTCGCCTCCCCCACGTACGAGGGCATGGGCATCCTCGACCGGCTCGGCAACAGCAACGGCGGTGGCGGAGTCGGTGGCGCCGCCGCCGGCGCCGCCGCCGACCCCTCCGCCCCCGCGCCGGCGTCATCGACGTCGGCGCAACCGGGGGCCTCCGCGGCCGTGACGCAGCCCTCGTTGGCCGAAGCCGCGGCCCTGGGGATGGGGGGTGCGGTGGGGCTGGCGGGGGCTGGGCCGCCGCAGGCCGGAGCAACGAGCGTGGTGCCTGACTACCAGGGCAGGGAGAGCTATGGCTCTGACGACCAGGCCTACACCCAAGGTGAGTTTCGCGCCACCTTAGCCGCGTACAGCTGTCATTTAATGGAACACGCAGCCGTAAGCGCAGCAGCCAGCTCTCCAGCTTGTAGATGACCCCAGTAAACTGACATTAAAACTGCTTTGAATAAAAAAAGTAAAACCTCATTTTTGATTTAGCTATTCCAACCTGGGCATAGCCTTTAAGACTTTCATCGTTTTCTTTTGATCAAGGTAAAAGTTCATTGGTTGTACATGGTCTAACGTAAATACATTTGATACCTGGTTTCTTCCAGCCAGTGTGAGCCGTTACTTGAGACTATACAGGGAAAATGAAGTGCTGTGACCGACAGCTGCAAATGGTATTGATGAGTGGGAGTCGGTGAAAGTGGAGTGGGAGGGCTTCTAAGAGCAACAAATAACCGTGATGGAAGAGAGATGGCAGATTGACAACAGAGTCAACATAAGAGCATGGATCACAGGAGATTCTTACAGCACTTAAATCATCCACATCCTTCTTTCATTCACAGTTACTGCCCACCTTCTCAGCGTCCATTCATTCTCCACTTGCTGCTGCCAAAGCTGAGAGAAATCTAGCAGGGCATTCGGCACTAGCAGACCTGCAGTCGTCTTCCAGCATAGCAGAGCAGCGTAGCACAGGTTGTGCTTCCAAACACCGCGGTTACATAACGGCTCGTGTTTATTTAAGCGCTGTGGAAAATGAAGACGCTTAAAACATCGTGCAACGTGCCTGCCAGTGCCGTGCTTAAGCCCCACCTTGTTATAGGAGCCCAGTCCATCCATTTTGATGGGAAGAGCAGCCAACAGAAGGCTCTTTCCACTATTGACTAAAAAAAAATGTCCTACCAATATCACAGGAATGGGGACGTATTTTGTCGTGTGGCCTATGAGGAGCAACTATTTAGAGATTCAGTTGTAAATGATGTAGCCATTCAAAAAATCTTTGTCTGAGCATTGAAGTGCAGGTACACCCATCCTGGGCCTCACATGTGTATATGGGACAGTGCCAAGTTAAACGGCGTGTGTAGTCGCCACAGTCACACAGGAGAGAGGGTTTTATTTTCCGCTAGCATTAGGTATTCACAGAATCTTCCACGGTTTGTGTAGATCTGGTTAAACGCTGCCGGTTGTCTCAATAGAATATGGAAGCTGGGCAGTGTGGTGATGGTGAGCTCACTGATGGGTCATGCGTTGTGGAAGCCGGGTAGTGTGGTGGTGGGCTGGCTCATCAGCTGTTGGGCACATTGCCTGAAGCCCACGAGATGGTCTACACCATTTCGATGCTGAAATTCGCGTCACGCAGAGTTTGCGCCAAGTGTTTCCAAAACAGCTTCAGAACATGGGGACAGTGAGGTATAATGCTGTCGTCACAAAGCACTGTTAGTGGACGTTGTTGTTCGTGGAGACTAGGCATGCGACATTGCTTCTGCTCATGATACATGCACCAATTCATGCATCGAAGGAACATCTCGTTTTGATTTGCCTCTGCTGTCTTATTATTGCGTGTGATTTCAGCAGCCGCTATAGGTGCTGCGCACTAACCATATTGGATTAGAAAAGGTTGGATTATTGAATAGATTAATGACTCCGAATCATGAAGATTCACAGAAAAAATGTAGGGGTGTGGTGGGAGCGCTACAAACCCGGCGACCCGAGTTCATTTTCCTGCTCACGGCCAACACCAGTGATGATTATCTTAACCGGTCCTGAGCCACCCCTTGGTCGACTCTCCTTCAAATGAGTACCTGTGTGCGCTCTGTAAACATCGTCACCGGGGAGACAAAGGCGGCCGGGCGTGGTGCTGACGACACACGCCCTCGTATACCCGTGCCGGAACTTCATAGGTGCTCGCAAACAGCACGTGCCCCAAAAAAAAAATCTTTGAGGCTCTGAGGGACTGTGTGGTGGTGTTTTCTTGGTGCAGTCTGGGACTTTTTTTGTTGTTTTTGCTGCCTTGCCCAATCTTGATAAATACAACTAGTTGGGTGTTTATTTCTATTTAGTGACTTGCATACATTTTTCTCTATTTTTACACTCCTATTTCTCTTATATTGTTTGCTGTTGTAATTTTCTGACCCACCCCATGCTGGACATTTGTGGAAAAATGAGCTTCTCGCTCATTGGATTCCTCCTACGGTCTAAATAAAGATTCAGATTGCTGATTCTGAATCTTTTTTTGTCCTCCGTGCGCATGCCCACATCCCCCAACGCCTCCACGTCTGGCAGCGCTGATGCTGCACCAGCGGATGCGCATGGATCGGCTGCAAGAGGCGCTGGGGGTGGAGCGCGGCTCGCTCGAGACGCTCAAGGCCGAGGTGAACGAGATGGAGAACGTGCTCAACCAGCGGCGCTTGCGGCGCGCCAGCTCCTCCATGCACTCGCCTTCCGTGAGTGATCGCCCTCCTCCCACTCGCTCGTTCACCCCCCCGCATCCCTGTGTAAACTGTTTTTTTAGCAGGTGAGGCCCACTTGAGCCACGTAGCTCTTTTTTTCGCAAGCGACCTGGCTATTGCAAATGAAGTGGCATATCGTCGCGCGGAAATTTATAAAAGCCAAATACTCTGGACCAGGGGTCGGCAACCTATGGCTCGCGAGCCAGATGTGGCTCTTTTGATGACTGCATCTGGCTCGCAAATAAATCTTAGCTGACATTTCTTTAGTTGTATTCAGTGTTAAAAAATATTATATGGCTCTCACGGAAATTTATTTTAAAATATGTGGCTTTCATGGCTCTCTCCGCCAAAAAGGTTCCCGACCCCTGCTCTAGACGTACGTTGATTCTAAATGTGGAGGGGAAAACACCGGAGGACCCGGAGAAAAATCCACGCGGCCACGGGGAGAACACGCAAACTGCAAATATACAGCAGGCGTCAGGGTCAGGATCGAACCCACTCCCTTCTCCATACCAAGCGATGGAGATAACATCTCGCCACTGTGGCGCCTTTCGCCACCGTCAAACCACAAACGAAACCGATCTGTCGCGCTAATCAAGCCCCCGCGTAGAGCGGCAAGTCTCTTACAATCACCCGCATCCATTGCGACAGACGCCACGACACTGCGCACACCGGGGCAGCCTGGCAATCGGACGCTCTGTTCAAAAATCTAAATACAACAATGGCCACTTTGAATTAATATGTGGATGGTCGATCCTAATCATCCGTAATTAGCTAGCCAAAGCTCGGGCCCCACCGTTAAACATAACACGCGCCAACGCATCCTTTTAGCAGAGCACCTGTCTGGCCACACCGCTCCCTGCACTTGGCAGGACACCCTGGATATGGGGAGTGGTGGGGGAGGTTCGGGTTAGGGATGGGCTAAGGGGAATAATTGGGGAGGGGGATGGTAAGGGGGGTGGTGGTGGTGCTGGTGGTGGTGGTGAAGAAAGGAAGGAAGAGGGAGGGAGGGCAGCAGCTGTGCGTGCTCTTAGGCAGTGCTCCTCAAACCGCTCGCATTTAAACGGCCACAGTCTCTGAGGCCCAATTACAGGAAAGGCAAAGGCTGATGCACATGACCATTCACTACCTGCCGATCACCAGTCGGTGCAATCGGAACTGTGCGTTCTGTACTAAAATATTCAATGACCCTATTTAAAGATTCAATTACCCTATATTTATAGTACTCCTTTTACTCTCTCAGAGTCCATATTCAGCCTACTCCCATAGTGTCTAATATTGTTTAATAAGTACTGCTGAATACACACCAGGTTTACACCAGGAATCAAGTGCTTTGCAGACAACGGTTTGTAGGTCACATAGGTTCGTGAAATTTACACACAAGCAAATATTAAGGTTACCTATATACCCTTAATATACCCTTAAACAGACTTTTGGGGCAAATGCTGTTAACGAGCACCTTGTAAGGCGAGAAACGGCACACGGGGTAGCTAGCCGAGAAATCGACACACAGAGAAGTGTGACATGAGCAGCAGCAGGCGAGGATGAGACCCCACCCGGACACCGTATCCCCGTCTCCCGGATACATAAATGGAGGTTGGGGGGGGGGGGGGGGCGGGTTACGGTGCCACTCCTGCAATGTTTCTGGAAACTCAGAGGCGCCGGATTGCAAGGGTCGAAACGTGGAGCCTCTTCCGTGGTAGGCATCAGTGCCACCACCACCACCACAATTAAAACTTTCGACAGTTGTAAGGAATGGTGATGGACTTTATACACGAAAGCCTCAACGAAGTCAAAATAATATACTTAGGAGGGTCCTGCATTGGGGAAACACTGGGTACCTCGAGAAATCCCCCCGCACATAAGGAGACCTCGTACTCAGTTATCTGTACAGACAGAGTCAAGAATCATGTGTTCTGTACTGCCATCTTCTAGCCACATCAGCTCAGAAAATTTGAGAATTTCACATCTGTTTGATTAACCAACCCATTCCTCCAAAGCGTAGGATCATAGGCTTGCTCCATGTGTTGGTGTTATTGACATCGCCGCTGGCGTATTTTCGCCGAGAGCTTTTGAGCGACGAACGCATTTTTCCCTCTGTGCTGCAGCTGGATGACATGAGCAAGCTGCGGCAGAAGAACCGACAGCTGCAGATCGATATCGACTGCATGACCAAGGAGTTCGACCTCTGCCAGGCGAGGGGTGAGCAAGTGCCTCTTACTGGCACTGCGATCTCCCAGCTGCTCGATCTGCCCCCCCCCCCTGCCCCACACATGACCCCCGACCTCCCCCCGACCCTCCACATGCATCACGGACACAGTGATTATTGCAATTGAAACCACCACGAGAATCGCCGCCGTGCTTTATTGCAACAGACTTTTTACGTTTGTTCGTTCGTTCTTTGTCATAGGAAAGAACTTTAACCCGGATACCACCTTGAGTTTTTACAAGAACCTGGGCTACCAGGGGCAGGTCGGACCTGTCCCTCCCAAAGCCTCCACTCAAGGTGAGTGGCTCACTCACACAGCTGATGCTCACATACGGTCACTTCTCTAGCTGGAAAGCAAATCAATAAGGGGGCTTTTCTCACGGCAGCTGTCGACACGCTCCAATCCATTATTTTTTATAATGGAGCGTGGCTGACATCTACCTATAACAAAAACTGGACTTGGCCCGCTAACTTTAAACCTGTTTTTTTATATATATATAGGCGGCCGTCGAGGGCCTCCATTGGAGAAGTGAGGATGGGTGGTCTGTGAAACACCGGGCTTTACCATAATTGGCCAAAGCCCACTTTTAAGTTGTCTTGAATAAAAACTGATCTAGCAATAGGGGCTTTTGCCATGCCCACATGGCCACACCGGACCACCGAGAAACCCTCCACAATTCTGCTTGTCCGTCATTTCACACACTCCGAAACCGGGCAGCTGTCGACCCCCGTGTGAGGGATTGTCCTGCACCAATTTGGTTCCCAAGCAGCCGTGGGCAGTGGACTTTGGGTGAAGGGAGACACAACTCACAAAAACTCAAAACATTTCTAAGCGCGTCGGTATGAAGGCCGCGTGTTCCGCGCTGTTGGACGTGGATTTGAAGCTACGTTCACGAGAAGAGTCAGGTGGTTTGTCTCAGCACTCCAGTTATGGTGCTGCATTGGCAATTCGATTAACATTCATGGGAGCGACATCGGAGTGATTTTACATACGTATGTTCATCTTTTTTTCGCACCGTACGCACCCAACCGTAATAATCAGAGGTGCGCGGCGGAAGGACAACGAACTGAACACAAAAAGCAGCTCTAAAGAAATTCGTTTTCAGTCCAGCGTTTAAAGTGCGTGGCTCCAGTGGCTTCCTAAAAACGCCGCACGATGATGTGACCATCTTTGCATCGACGTTTATACAAAAGCCACTGCTTGGGATGACCGGAGTTTATGCTCCTTGGCGAGCTCGGCAAGGCATTGCGGTTTATTTGTGTAAAGCACTCCTGTGTGCAATGGGTGCGACCTCGGGAGAGCGCCGAGCTGATGCATCTGAGCCGGGTTTTCACGGTCTCTTTGCTGCGTGTTTGTGTTGTGCCCTGTGTTGTTTGGCATTTCACTTCATGTGCGGGGAGCTTCTTCAAGGGGAGAGGGGAGGTGTGGGGTCTTCAGGAACATTCGTTTCCTGGAGAGGTTTCCAACACGTGGAGCAAAACGTCAGACGTCATTTCGAGCGGCACACAGCGCAACCCCAAAACACATCGGCGTGCTAAAGAACACAACCGCGCATACCTGCACAGCGGTGCTCATTGTGAAAGCATCAGACTATTTTAGGACAGCCGTAGTGAACGTAACCGCGAACGCAAGAAGTCTGTGGATTTTTGTGTTCCTCGTTCTTTAAGCGTCCAGATGGAAACGATGAGTGTCCACCGGCGCTGACGTTTAACGTGCAGCGAGCGTAACATTCGGGGGGATGTGTTGCTCTTTCATTTTATTCGGGTCACACAAATGCAAAATCTCCCTTCTCACTTGCGCCTGGCCTCCTTCCTGCTTTTGTCCCGTAGGAAATAGCTTTTTATTTTCTTTCCCCTCGGCTTCAGCTTAAGCATGCGCCTGCTTTTATCTTGCCGTTCTGATCCATCCATCTGCTTTCCCCTTTCCGTCCGCCTACCTCCCGCCCGCCCGCCCTCCTTCCCTCCCTCCCTGCCTGCCCCATTTACCTCCCCACCTTCCCCCCTGTCTGAACCGCAGACTCCCTGAGCACTCTAGAGAGGGAAGCTCGAAAGATCAGTGTCACCGCAAAACTTAAGGGTGCACAAACGCCTGACTCTCCGGTGATTAAAGCGGAGGGTGGGTACGCATGGCTGCTGCACCACGCTTGCCTGTATATTTGGAGTTTGTATGTCTCTCCCCGTGATCGCGTGGATTTTTCTCCGGGTCCTCCGGTTTTTCGCTCCACATTTAGAATGAACATGCGTTTAGAGTGTTTGGCTGATATACATTTCCACGTGATAAACCACATCATTTGAGCTGTCATTTGTGGCTGGGTCACTTCTGAAAAAGAGCTATACTGCTCAGTGGGCCTTACCTGGTACAATAAAAAATAGTAGCAGCTTATTAATCAGTTGGGGTGTCGTCCTTCCTTGACGCTGTCGGTGTTACGACCTACCCCCCCCCCCCCCCCCCCCCCCCCCCCCCCCCGCTGAGCATGGCGATGAGGTGTAAAGTAATGATGAAGCGGTGTGAGCATTGTTTTTAGAATCCTTGTTATCACCTGCTGCTCTGAACGTACAGGGGGGTGGGTTACTTTTATTCACGGTTGAAAACGATCAATGGGAAAAAAAAAAACATGGTCTCTGTTTTCTTTAAATAAATGAGTTTGCTGTCGTTCGTTTCTCTTGAAATGCGATTGGCATCGGTGGAGGATGTAGTTAATGAAACGTATTGAGCAAAGCATACAGAGAAGTCTATTTAGTTTAATCCGTATTTAATTGTTGGACAGTGCTTGATTTATTCACGTTGCCATTGATTCCCCTTTCTTTCTTGCAACTTTAATGCAGTCTTCACCTTACTCAAATTGGTCTTTGAGTAACTCTAACCTTACTTGCACCTGCAGAGTACGTAAAAAAACACTGAAATACTCACTGCCCATCATACTGTTCTCCGGTACTCTTATTACCAACAGCAATAAGGATACATTCTACCACATAGGCACGCAACGAATGAACCCCCCCATCCCCCCAAAAAAATTAGATTGCTTATCACGATGCGGGATTATAATTTGAATACATAGTTTAATTGTGGATTTGTAAATGAAGGTACAATTATATTCTTGGTTCTTTCGGTAAAGTCACGTAGAAGGGAAAAATAAAATAATAAAAATACATAACAAAAAAATTATCACGATGTTTCGACTGCAACACAAGCAATCATCACCAGGTGTGAAAACCACAGCAAGAAAAGTATCTTTATTGTTTTATATTTTTATTTTATTGTTTCCCTTCTACGTGACTTTACCGAAAGAACCAAGAATATGAATCCCTGCAGTCACGAAAGCTTTAAATCGAAGGCACAATTGTTTGTTTTTACCCATACAAATGTGTACCTTTTGTGTTCCTTGTGTTTTCAGTCTGGTTTGTTTCATCTCGTCTGCAGAATATCGTGTTTATCCTTGTCTGTACCCTCGTTTGTTCTGTCTCGTCTGCACTGTCTCACGTGCACTGTGCCGATTGTGCTGTCTTGTTGCACCTGCCTCATGCTATTTGAATGAACCAAAATCAATGGGCTTTTAATGCTTAATTTTTGAGTTGATTACAATTGACTCATTGTTTAACATTTGCCAACCTTAATCGAGGAACAATGTTCACGTGCAGCACAGCAAGACTGCGCGCCGGGAGGCACGCGTTATCGCCACTGCTGTGCTACGCACCCCGCGCAGACCTCGTTTCACAGCGCCCCCGTGCGCACACCCCCTTGTCCCCCCCGTACTCAGACCAGCGCGAGACGGACCGGCCGGCGGGGTCTGCGGCTCGCGACGAGGAGGAGGAGGAGGGTTCGGCCTGGAGCTGCATAACGTGCACGTTCCTCAACCACCCCGCACTCAACCACTGCGAGGAGTGCGACATGCCGCGCCACTACTGACCGCTCGCCACTGAGCCCCGCCCCGCGGGAGCACGCGCGGGGCTGGGCGGGGTGCCGCGTCTCGCGCGGAGCGATCGGAGGTGCGAGCGGCACGAACGGCGGGGAGAAGGCCCAGGGCTTTCCTCGCCTGCGGGCAAGAACCGGCCGCGACGCGCGTCGGGAACCCGGCGATTCGATGCGGGTGATCGCGCGCCGGGGAGCGTCTCGCCGTGCGCGGCAACGTCAAGAAGAGGGGACGTGTCGATGAGAAGCGTGGGAGAAGCGCGGTCGAAGCCGGAGGCCTCGCAAGTGACTCCTGGCGCGACGGAGACTCAGGAGCCGACGGTGGCCCGAGCGCCACGGCAGCCCCCCCCCCCCCCCTCCCGGCGCCAGCGCTGCGCCCCGAAGCGCGAAAAGCTTTTGTTTTTTTTTTTGTGTTAAATAATAAATTGCATACGATTTACCGAAAAAGAGACTTTGATTTAAAAAAATTAAGTGAAAGAGAATTTTGGTTAGAGTTGAGCACTTGATGTAAAAATGCAAGCGTTGTTTTTTTCCTTCCTTCCTTCCTCCCCACGCGTGCAGATGTTGAAGTTGAAGCGGCGAGTGCACACGGTTTCGGCATTGAGACCTTGGGGGGGGTGAACGAAACAAATGTGAGGTGTCGCGTTTGGAGTAACGAATGGACAGTTGCAATCCGTGGTTAAGTGTGGGACGCAAATGGCTTCACGCTGCTGTCACCTCATGAATCTTTCAGTGCTGCATTACTTATGATTTGAATTTATTGTAATAAGAATAAGGGGTCATGACAGTTGCAAGATTATAATTATAATGCCCGTTGGGGGGGGGGGGTTTCTGTCATATTAAGCACGGATAACAGACTGTATTGTTAACAGTTAACAGAAGGGTACTGGAATAATTCTTTAAGCACTGAGATTTTGGTTTAAAACATTTTTATATGATCACCACGTGGCCTCTTTTTTTTAAATGAACAAGTGGATGCAATCATTGACGTGATCAAGCCAAGTCTGGCTCGGTACTTTAATTTTTCTTTTCAACGAAATGCTGGATTTTGCCATAGGAGTATGGCTGGCAGACATATAAAACCATGAAATATAAAATGAAAATGAATAGCGAGGTGGGGTTTGGGCCGCATTTTAATGTATTAAAAAGTGTTGAATAATCAAACGTTTTCATTAAGTTAATTTTTTTGCAATTAAAAAAAACGTACAAAGTATATTAATAATGAATAATAGTAATAATGGTAATGTTTGAACCCAGTCTTCACCACATGAACACACAGGGTCGTTGCAAATGTCGGTAGCGATGGTTCGGATGTCCGGTCTGCATCTGCGCAGTGCGTGACTGAAGTCTGCTTCCCAGTAAACTCGGGGTTTTTTTAATTTGTCGAGGAATCGAAGCCACCACCCCATTACCCCCTCCCACCCCCCCCCAAATAGCTTCCAACTTGGCCGTGTCTGTCAGGGTTTGGGGCTGTTCCTAGTTCAAACCTCTGCTGCAAAGCCACCTCACTACCCCCCCCCTCTTCCCCAATAAGTGCCTACAAAGCAAGTTGAGTTATGGCTCGGGCTTGTCCACGGTTTAAACCCAGTAGAGATCGGCGAGTAGACCAGCAAGGCACTCGGGCGGATAAGACATTGCAGTCTATGCGGTGTGACTCGTTGCGATGTGGGCATGCTATGCAGGGTATTCGGGCCCATTAGTCAACCACACACCCTTCCCCATACCCTCACACGTGGGTTGGATCATGCTGCCGGGCACTGCTCTCTTGTGAATTGCTTTGGCCGCAGGTAGCAACGGCGATGTATTGACGAGGGGTTTAAATTACACTCTTCGTTTTGCTGCTGAGAGAATAAATGCCAAAACGTCTCTGGCGATGACTTAGACATTTTTAAATGTACATTGTAGCATTAATTTAAAACACATCCCCTGCATGAAATTGAGCCATAATCCACATAATCCATTGTTAATTCTGAACGACACTTCAAACGGGCTTTAATCGACTGGCGCACACAGGGCAGCCTACATTGCAAATGGAGCACAAATGCCTGGATTGCCAATGCGTATGGTTTTATGTTCCACAGTGCAGCTGGATGTGAAAGTTTGTTTACCGTAAGCCTTAGGAGCTGCGCTGAACTCAACAGAGCTGAAGGTGAGCAAGGACTTGCAGGCTCACCCTTGTTCTGTGTGCAGATCAGTGGTGGTTTCAACTGGTGCTCGCAATTCCTAAAACAGGGCCCTCTGCCTCAGTAAAAAAAAATTCCCAGTGAAAATACTTGAAACGGAGCCATTTTTTCCACATATATAATGAGTTTAGACTTTTAAGTCGACAGAGGGCAGTGCAGTAACATCCTTTGTACTTATATTATGCTCTTAACATCTGTTGCTTCCTGCCTTCCAGAATTGACAAGCGTGGTGAAGTATGGTCAAATAGACATCACGGCCCGTACTGACTTTTGGGGAGGCACTCGTTCAGCAGTAAATCGATTTAAGGGGCTGTTGTGCACATTTTAAACAGAAGACAAACGCAAAAAAACCTTGCTGGCATTCGAAGGGTGTTTTTCTTTTTAATTGCTTTGCCTCGCTATCAGAGCGTTGTTTCGGGGAGATAAGAAAAAAATGAAAGCGTCAGATGAGCCCTTGCCTTGTTGTGCAACATTTCTCCAGGAATAAACGTGGCCGAGTCTGTTTCACTTGGCCTGTGCAGACAGCTCTCTGGCCATCCCTGCAACGTCCGACGTTGAGTCACTCCCAAGTAGCTCCCCGTGAGACTGAGTTGCTCATTGAGCCCAACCTGTTGAGTCTCCGAAGATTCCAACCTCATTCATCGTTGCCTCAATAACAAGTTAGCCCTCGCCCCAAATATACGCACACAGTTTAAATGGCATTTTGGTAAGAGAGGCGAGTTTGAAACATCTTACCTACAAGAAGCAAAGTAAGAAGCCACACGCGGCCCCCTTTTTGTGCGCCGGTGTCCTGCCTTCCACTTTTACCAATCGCCCGTTGCGTGAAATGTGCATTACTTTATCAAATTTATGTGCGACTGGGGAAGATTGATGAACGTGGAATGCTCCACCGTAATGGGGGGGGGGGGGGGGGGGGGGGGGGGCGTTAAGGAAGCGCTGGCTTACGGTTACAGAGCACAGCCTTAGCTGGACTGAACGAAGCTTTCCCCCCCCCCCCCCTTCCCATCGCTTTGGTGTCTTCATGTGTCTTATTTACTCTGAACATGTGAAAATATAGCAATACAAAAAGCAAATGCCTTGTACATTGTCGTAAAAAAATACGTACATCGTTTGGAGCATGCGTTTATTTTAAATTTATTATTTTTTTTCCCGCCTGTATAGTTTCTTGTGTAAAAAAAAAATTAAATTCATTTAATGTATGAGACAGCCTTTGTGTGTACGTGTACTGTGCATGCTCCCCGTACATATCCCTCTCCCCCCATGCTGGATTCTACACAGTTTTTACTGCTATCTGTCATCGCGTCACTTGTGTGCAACAACTGTGGTATATAGCGTGTAATTAAATGTATAATAGCATCAGCCGCTTTCATCACATGAGACGTAATATGATAAGTGTGCAGCAATCCAGAATTGCGTTTTAAATAATTTTAGTACACTTTCATATTGAAGAAGGGAGCCTTGTCAGACCTTTGTCAGTACTGGCTGAAAGTCTTCCCCAAGCCATGACATTCATGAGAGTTGTTTAACCATACTTCACGCTGGTCAGTGCGGGTTGGTGAAGGCGTGGGGGGGAGGGGTTTAGATATCACTCGCCACTGATGTTAGCCGTGGCTGCGAATCGTGCTTGGGTTGCTGGCTTCGTAGCGCACCGTGCTCACCTCTGCCCCCCGCCGCTCACATTTCATGACATTTATTGCGTGCTATATAAGACTTTCCAGAAATGTAATATTAATCTCGTAACACATTTTTTTGTACGAGCATGCCTTTTTTTAAATAACACTGGGATGTTGCCAGGTACCTCCTCTGCTGAGGTTGAACGCACAAAAGACCAGCTCTTGTGGCGCTATTTGTTTTTTTTAAGGAGCACGTGCACGCAAAATTTGGTGACAACGCACAGAGTTGCACTCTTTCACTCTGAAACTGCCCAGGCATTCAGACCCCGTGTGTTGTTGGTAAATATTTGAGACTTTTTTTAATTCGCTGCAATTGAGATGGCATTACCTTAGTGGTGTAATGATGCATCGGTTATTTGATTAATGCTGCTGCTTCAGCTTGCGATATGTACATCACATTGGTGAAGAATCGAGGGAGGTTTTGTATTGTATATGTCGTTCATGTGACCACCCCATGCAACCGTTTGTCGTGCTACCATTCACCTCGACGTATAAACTAAATTGAACCAGGTGAATCAGATGTCAGAGTACCACGGAGATCATGGGTTCAAATTCAAGTAGCTGCCTGTGATTAAACTGGGTTTTTAAGTGTATTGAGATCATGGGCTTACCCCAAGTAGCCAGTGACTACACAAAACCCCCATCGTGATAAATTTGGTTTTGCTCTTAATTTGGCAACTTTTCCACCTCTGAGAATAAAAGTAAAAACGTTAGTTTGACTGTCATGCGGCAGACATTCGTTTTTTTGTTTACCCCGGAGAGAAGTAAAAATACCGGGATAGTCTCATTTGCAATGATTTGCTATGTTTCGTCCCAATTGAGTAACGCTCTCCTTAGTGCTCGGGAGGGTAGGGCAGTGCTGCCCTCTGCTGTGTGGACCAGATTTCGCTTGAAATAGATTTCGGAGGTAGCTGTGATGATATCCGCTTGCATGGACCGTGCCTCTTCGACCACGAGTTGCAACTGCTCTACAAGGGATCCCGATGAATACTTTCTCTCTCACGACACAATGCCGAGAGCACAATTTGGGACGAAATTTAGGCCATCTAAATTCATTAATGAGTCATGGCCCTGAATCGAAACAATTTGTTAAATCACCAGGCACATTTAATCGTTACACCTCCAAATGATGACCTCAATCTACTGAAGGTAAAGCTCAAGGGAAGCCGTTATACCATGAATGTAAAATACTGTATGCGAGAGATCACCAATCTCCATCTCAAAAGTACCCCCCCCCCCTATTTAATAATAACCCCCCGTGCAGTTCAAAACGCGTTTCGAGGCGGAGGTCACACAAGCAGTGGGAGCGGAGCCGTCGCTCGGTCCTGAATTCACGGAGATGTTGAGATTCGTCGTGCGGGGAGTAAATCCGCAAGCGCTGATGCGGAGGGAGCCTTGGCGTGCCACGTGACGACAGCGAGCACGGAGAGCGACTTCCCTCCCACCTCACTCCCACGCCATGATCACCCGGCTGCATGTGATGAATATGCCTCTGTTGATTTTGCTGCGCAAAGACGCGCACACACACACACAGAGACACACAAACGGAGCGGTAAGGGTTTGGTAGCAACAGATACATTGTGGAGTGCAGGTTGCTCCGTGTGGTGGCGCGTCTGACTGCGATACAGGAGGCGTTGCGCTTCCTTCGTATGTTGTGGGGAGTTTAGCAACGTCGCGATGTTCATCTCGAGGTCGCCGAGTGAGCTGGGCGATGGCTTTTAAAAGTAGCCTGGGGAATACGAACTTTCAGAGATACGAACAAACCTGTCCGTAAGTCCAGTTGCTTGTGCGGACCGAGAGTTGTAAGTTCAACCACCGCGCAATAGATGGCGGTGGTGGTATCTACATCTGCAGAAAATGAAGAACCAGTGGCATCTACGGGAGAGTATACAGCTTTTAAAGCCATTCCCAATGTTTAGTGCACATGCTGTACAACATGTATGGAATCGACAGGAGTAAAGTTGGATTTAACAGACCTCTGAAACCTAACTCGTTCGTAAGTAGAGGAGTCCCTGTATGTTGAACTTCTTTCGCACCGTACGTAGGCAACCGTGCTATAATGGTGCCGGCGAATGACCCTGGAGGGCAGTGGTGTTACTATGACACGGACTTGGACACGCGCCCAGTTGCATCAATTGGCTGCAAGCTAATTAACCAAGAATGACCGAACTGACAAAGAAAAGTCACGTAGGTAGAAACATACAATAAATAATCGATCGCAACACAAGCAGTCATCCTCAGGCGGAAAATAAAATCCAAAATAATCCAGTGGAACTGCTGGTTCCACTGCTGGTTCCACTGCTGGTTCCACTGCTGGTTCCACTGCTGGTTCCACTGCTGGTTCCACTGCTGGTTCCACTGCTGGTTCCACTGCTGGTTCAGCAGTTGCACTGCTGGATTATTATTATTTTTTTCCGCCTGAAGACGACCGCTTGTGTTGCGATCGAAACGTCGTGATATGTAATTTTATTTTTCTACCTATTTTATACCGACGTGACTTTACCGGAAGAACCAAAGAGTATGGATTCCTGCCGTCACAAAAGCCTCAAATCAAGATTGACAATGCATTGTGTAATTGCGTTTTATGTAACATAGGGACGGTTGGAATGCTATTGTTTTAATTTAGGATTTTAGACTTTGCTAACTTGTGATTAAGAATGTTGTGAGTTTCTGCTACAGCCCTAGCAAAGGGAGCTGCCGTTAAAAAAAAACCGATTGCAGCCTCTAATCCCCACATACGCACGCTTCAGAGTATGCTTGGGAATCATCGTGGGCAGCCAGGCGCTGGACAGCTCCACCTGCACTGACCAGCGTGGTTAAGTATGGTCAAATAACCCCCACGACCCAAACGGCGTGGAAAGGCCCTCATACAGCAGTGGATTAATTAACAAACGGACTGCACATGTACATGCCTTACTATAGACGACTGTATCTGTTAAAACTACGAATTGTAATAGTATTATGTATGTGTGTTGAATTTATTTAGCGCCGCACGAAGCCAACCGTGATTATCGGAGGTGCGAAATACTTGATAACTAAATATTTAATTACAATAACCCTGTTCTTTGCAAAATACGTCAATGTTCTGTAAGTAACAGTAGGTGTGTACTGTTATGTACGAATATTGTTAGATACATACCGGTTTTTCCTATCGTATCTCGTCCTGGGTAAATTCTTACTGGGATTCCACGATTGCACCATGGGCGATTCTCGCAGGAATCGGCAATTCCCAAGTTGAAATGCCCTTTCACTTGAATTGGGATGCTTACAATGCTCGTGCGCCATCTCGTGGCGATATTTGGAATCGCCACGGGAACTGAATCATTGAAAAGAATGGGAGAATCGTGGGAAATACCAGAGGCTTTCAAAATACGGAAATGACCAACCTCAAGAACTCTTTAGGAGACAACCCATGAGGCACTTAATCTTAAATACCCACTACCTACACCCCGTGAGCCCCAAAACCAACTGATTGGCTTTGGCCCTTTTCTGTGCAGCGGTTTCTCGGTGGTGAGATGTTAACTCCCTCGCCTGGTATGCAGCTGGTGGGTTCGATCCCGATCCTGACGCCTGTATATTTGGAGTTTGCATGTCTCTCCCCATGGTCGTGTGGATTTTTTTTCGGGCCCTCCTGTTTTTTTCCCCTCCACGTGTAGAATCAACGTACCACCATGCACAGTATTTGACTGCTATACATTTACACATGATGAGCCACTTCGTTGAGCTATCATTTGTGGCTGGGTCGCTTCTGAAAAATATATTTTTTTACATCTCAGCGGGTCTTACCTGGCCAAATAAATAAAAAATAATAAATAGGTGGCAAGCTATCGGTGCGGTGTCGCTCACCAGCGGAAATATCTGCGCCCGTCGTACTCCCCGTCGTGGCGGTTCGGCTCGGCCTCCCCCTCGATCTCGACGCCCAGGTAGGAGCCCTCGCGCCCGGGCAGGCAGCCCACGTACTTGACGGTGCCGTGCGCCACCCGACCGCCCGAGCGCGTGAACTTGACCCTGTGACCCACGCGCAGGTCGCTCGACGAGCGTGGGGCGAAGGGGCGGCCGCGGCAGCTCGCATCGCCCGTGAACCTTGGGGGGGGAGGAGGGCAGGAGGGCAGGAGGAGGGATAGGGTGTTGGGCGATTGGCGTCCATTCACTGCCCACGCATCTCTGACCCTTGTACCCCATTTCCACGGTCGCATCTGAGCCGGGCCAGGTCAGCGCGGGACCTCCTCGGTAATGGGTGGTTTTCCATTGGCGGTTTTCCGAACCGGCCCAGCCCATTGTTTTAGCTTCACAGTATAGAGCATGTCTCGATTCCACGCTCGCTCGCCCGTCCATCCTCCATTTGTCTCCATCTTCAGGTTGATCTGTACCCCCGCATTGCATCACTCAAAGGTGTCAACACGTGCAACATTTGCGCAACGTTGAGCATGTACGGCCCTTTTGCGAATCCAACCAATCCATTGCTAGTTGAGGACTTCCTCATGCCGTGTGGGTCTTGGAGGTTACGTAACAATGTCACTGTGGTCGTCAGTGCGGGGTGGTGAAGGATTTTGCTGCACTGCCCTCTGCTGCCCACCACAGAGCCGCAGAGGCGAAAACAAGCTGCTGTTGCATGGTTGGTGAACCAAGAAATGTATCCAGGCTCGACCCGCCCGACCAGTAAACATGCGCCGTTGGGCCAACGTTGACATGTGGCTGGAATCGTTGGACCAACGTTGACCAAACGATTCTAGGTTTACTGAGTTACCTTCCGAAATAGTAATAGGTTTTACCCTTTTAACTGGCACAAAAACTGACACCTTTATTCAAGGTATCATGTTTGCAATAACCACAACACAAGCAGTGAAAATGCTTGTGTTGTGGTTATTGCAAACATGATGCCTTGAATAAAGGTGTCAGTTTTTTTTGTGCAAGTTAAAAGGGTAAAACCTATTACTATATCTTGTTACTGGCAAAGGAGGTCTCATAATGTAAATGCTCACCCCGAGCCCTCAATACTCTGATAGTGCGCTGTTTTTGAGTTGTACGCCTTTTGGCGTTTTCTGGTCCAACACCAGTGGAGACTAGGCTCTAAGAAAAGCCGTCTCGGGTGTGGACCAATCAAATTCAAGGACAGTGCATATTATTATCAGAGTTGTCTCTTTTTGTTTGCATTTTGACTGCTTGTATTGTGGTTATTGCAAACATGATGCCTTGAATAAAGGTGTCAGTTTTTGTGCCAGTTAAAAGGGTAAAACCTATTACTATATCTTGTTACTGGCAAAGGAGGTCTCATAATGTAAATAGCTTCCGAAAGTTCATGAGATCGGACACATTCTGGGTCCAAGTTTTACAGTTTTCACAAATCCATGCACCTCAATAAACCCAAAACTAAACGATGTTTTTTGACCAGGTAATGCCCACTGAGCTATTCCCTCTTTATCAGAAGCGACCTGGCTATCACAAATGATAGCTCGACTAAGTGGCTGATCGCGCGGAAATGTATCGCAGCCAAATACTCGAAACGCACATTGATTATAGATGTGGAGGGAAAACCCGGAGGACCTGCAGAAGAATCCACGCGACCACGCAATGTTATTGTTATGCGACCTCTGCAACTCCGTGCATCCTCGTGGACTGCAAATCATTTCCTCCCTCTATCACATTGATCGTGACTCACAATTGGTTGCCACGGTGGCAAGATGTTAACTACCTCGCCTGGTATACAGGAGGTCCTGGGTTCGATCCCGACCCTGAAGCCTGCTGTATATTTGGAATTAGCATTTTCTCTCCCCGTGGCCACAGTGAATTTTTTCTCCCGGTCTTCCGGTTTCTCCCTCCACATTTAGAATCAACGTTGCGTCTAGAGTGTTTGGCATTTCCACATGACGATAAGCCACTTCGTTGTGCCATCATTTGTGATAGCCAGGTCACTTCTGAAAAAAATAGCTACGTAGTTCGAGTGGGGCCTTACCTTGCACAATTTAAATAGCACAGTGTATATAATGGAAGCCCTCTACGCGTCCTCACCGGCTGGCCGACAGAGGGGTGTTGAATCGGCTGGAGGCCGAACCGGCCAGCGTGCTGACCGACTCGCTTCGGGCCGGGCATCCCCGGGGCGCCGCTGACGACGAGGACGACGAGACGTTGTCGGCGGAGCGGGCCCTGCTCTGGGCAAGGGGGAGCACCCTTGTGACCTCTGACCCGGGAAGTCTGATGGCCGGCAGCGGCACGGACACCAGGTACTCCGCCCGGGCGCTGCTGTCTGCACGGCATTCGAAGTGAGAGCACGTGTCCACCAAAGTTGGGGATTGACCACTGTGGAGGAGATGTGAGAGCGCGTGTCCACCAAAGTTGGGGATTGACCACTGTGGAGGAGACGTGAGAGCACGTGTCCACCAAAGTTGGGGATTGACCACTGTGGAGGAGACGTGAGAGCACGTGTCCACCAAAGTTGTGGATTGACCAATGTGGAGGAGACGTGAGAGCACGTGTCCACCAAAGTTGGGGATTGACCAATGTGGAGGAGACGTGAGAGCACGTGTCCACCAAAGTTGGGGATTGACCAATGTGGAGGAGACGTGAGAGCACGTGTCCACCAAAGTTGGGGATTGACCACTGTGGAGGAGACGTGAGAGCACGTGTCTACCAAAGTTGTGGATTGACCACTGTGGAGGAGACGCGAGAGAGCGTGTCCACCAAAGTTGGGGATTGACCACTGTGGAGGAGACACAGTTTGCCTTCTGTGCAGCTCATGTGCAGTACGTTTAGACTCTGAGTGCACTAAATCCATGGACTGGCTATCCGGACTTGGGTTACCCACAAATCGCACTCGGCTAGATGAGGCACGGCCAATTGAACACAAAATTGTGAGATTTTTATTGTACACAATGCAGTCTACAAGTAATGCATTCCATTAAACATATAAGTCCTATACTGTATATATTACAACTTGTAATCATAAACACAACATATAAACTCACATTGTAAATGACAACAGCATTTTTATGCAAGAGTTGCTTGCATATCAAAATTCCGCAAGACAAAAAAGTCACATCCTAATTTCCACTTTAAAAACGTTTAGTCTGCAAAATTGTTTTGATTACTGAATCCAATAAAACTACGGCATAATGTTCAGCATCTGACCTTCCCTCTGGGGTTGAACATAATTGTCTTAACTTCTCAATTCATCACCAGCCACCGAACACGCACACCCAAACCCAACACATCCTCTCCGAGGCGAGTCGCGTGGTTTCGGCTTTGGTGGGGCCCCGACCTGTTCCGATTTAGCGGCCTCTTCGTTGCCTGGTGCAGTTGCACCGCCTGCACGCGCACAATCGCTCCGCCACTGCGGGAGCGGCGGGGGGCAGCCCTTGAGGGTGTCTCCACATCATCCCCAGTTTTCTCCTCTCGGCCAGCGACCAAACAACAACGCGACCCGTTTACCCGCCACCCCTTACATTCCGTTGCCTGGGTGTGTTCGTGCTTTACGCAACTGCTCTGTTTAGTTGCACGGCCTGCACGCTCGACAGCTACGTACGGTGCGAAAGAAGTTCAACACACGCACGTACGTATAGCCACGCCACATGCCCCGCCCGCCCGCCCGCCCCGAGCGTTGCGCGAGTGTCGCCCTCACCGGCAAACGACGCGGCGTCGGCGCGACGCGGCCCGGCTTCCGCGCCGCCCTCCGTGACCTCGAAGCCCCTGAGCAGCTCGTCCGTCAGTTCGCTGCTGGCCGCCGACGCCGGGGACGCGCACGCGAGGGCGGAACGCGGCTCCGGCGGGAGCAGCGCTGCGCCCGCACGCAACGGTGCACACAAAGACAAAGATCCCCCGTGTAGCCTGAACAGACTGTAGGGGCAAGCGCTGTTAGCGAGCAGCACCTATGAAGGCCGGTAACGGCACACGAGGGGGCGGGTGGCCAGCACCACGCCCGACCGCCTTAGTCTCCCCAGTGGCGATGTTTGTATCCACCGCACCGGGTACTCATTTGAGGCTGAGTCGACCTAGGGGAGGCCCGGGACCGGTTCAGATCATCGTCACTGGTTTTGGCCGTGAGCGGGAATCAAACCCGGGTCGCCGGGTTCGTAGCGCAGCGCGCTAACCGCTACACTACCGCTCCCGGTGCATACACACGCACACACGCACACACACGCACACACACACGCACGCACACGCGCATGGGCAGTCCATGAATTCCATGCAGTCCTCATCAGGAGTTCTTGGGTTGCGCCGACCTGATGCTCGAAACCGCAGGGGCGGTGATGTGTCGCTAAGCGGGTAGCGCGCTTTGTCGCTCATTGCGGATGTTCATCGTCCGTTATCTGACAGGCCGCCGTGGTTAATACCGCAGGTTTGTTGACCGTAAAATACGCGCCGTTTGCTTCGAAACGGACGTTAAAGATCCCGTGGTGTCGTTCGAAAAGACGTAAGGAATTGCGTTCCGGTCAACGTTTTGCCAAATAAATAAAAAACTTCACCGCAAACTATCGAGGGGGAATTACACATGCAGCAGCATCGCTCTCAGCTGCGAAACTAGCGCGGACTGTGTCTGTCGAAAATAGCGTCTCCCTTCGTGGATAGCATTGCGCTTTAAGAACGGCGCGAATACGGAATGCACTAAGTTATACATTATTATTTCGCACGGCATGTAAGCCACAGTTTGTATAGATGATGTCATAATTGAATGTTAAGGTCCTCCGACCAATCCAAGGCGGCAGTAGATGCTGTGCGGATTGCAGCGATATCGCCAGGGCGTGCATGGAAATTATGGGGGGGGGGGAAGGTTACAAATAACCTGTGGTGATTGTGATTCCAGACTGCAGACCCTCAGTCGAAACATGTTGAGAAAACGGAGTGGGCACCTTACGCTTTTGAAAAGGAAGCCACGTCTGACGCGATTCTCATGCACACATACATTATGTGCACGAAGCGCATCGACACACACACGCGCGCGCGCATTGTGTACACGCTTTGTGTGTCGACATCACGGGAACCGCACGGTTCTCCACAGGGACCATTGCTGCCGCTGTTGTGGTTTTTTTACGTGCACAAAGCAGCGGCCACTTGAGCCGCCGCGATCCTGCTGTTCAGATCAAATCGTGGGGAGGGGATTTGTTGATGTTGTCGATGTTGTTTGTGTTCCCTTCAAAAACGAATGCAGCTGGTTTTGTTTGTTTGTTGAAAGCAGCTGTTGACGTAGTAATAGGTTTTACCCTTTTAACTGGCACAAAAACTGACACCTTTATTCAAGGCATCATGTTTGCAATAACCACAACACAAGCAGTCAAAATGCAAACAAAAAAGACAACTGTGATAATAATATGCACTGTCCTTGAATTTGATTGGTCCACACCCGAGACGGCTTTTCTTAGAGCCTAGTCTCCATTGGTGTTGGACCAAAAGACGGTCCGTGGCTCGATGTGAAGCTTACCACCATCCCACGCAGAGAAGTCGGGGTTGGTGTGCACCTCTGTGCCTTGGCTTGCAAACCTAACGAATACGACAAAGCGTAGCACATGAGTTGATCATCAGCAACAGCAGCAGCATCAATCAGACCTTTGAATTTGGTTTTGCACTTAATTTGACTAAACTCCAGCTTTGAATAGAAATGTCAGTTTGACTGCCGTGCGACGAACATTACTCTCTGCTGCAGGGCGAGTGGGAAAGTGCTGCCCTTTAACTGTATGAGTCAGAGGTCACTTGAAGGGATCTCAGAAGTAGCTCCGTGATAGCCACTTCTTTGGGCCGTTCTGTAGCACCAAGGATTGTACCGCTCTGTGAGAGATCTGAATGGGTAATTCGTCTCGTGATTGGATGCCGATAGCACAATCGGGATACTATACATTTCGAGGGCCTTCATGTATATTAAACAATTGCTGAGCACAGGCCCAAAGGCGCAATGTGTCAAACAGCCAAAAAACAAATAGCACGAAAAATGTTGTAATGGAGAAGGATGTATTTAGAACTGCTTTTTGTGTTTGTTGTCCTTCAGCCGTACCCCCATTTAGAACGGTTGTCTACGTAAGGTGCGAAAGAAGTTTTCGCCTCCACACGTTTTAGAATCGACAGCATGCGTTTCAGGGTATTTGGCTGCAATACATTTCCACACGATTAAACCACCTCGCTGCACTATCACTTGTGGCCAGGTCGCTTCTGAAAAAAAAAAGAGTTACAGTAGCTCAGTGGGCCTTAACCTGTAAAATAAAATAGTTTATAGTTTAGTTAAGGGCGTGTGCGAGTGCTGGAGAGTGCGGCCGCACCGTTGGAGAAGGGCCAACTCGTGTGGGCCGGGTTGGGTGCCCGCCTGCCTGCCGCCCTGCAGTCGGTCCGCCTGCACAGCGTCACGACGCGCGGGCGGGGTCAGAGGTCGCGAAAATGTCACGGTAATCTTAAATCGTAAATGTTGCGGTTTTTCTTTTTAACACACCGGTGTGCTGAAGTAGCAACTCGTTGGCACATTTTTGTTTAACGTGACAAGCCTTACCAGTTGGGTGGTGGCGAGCTAACGACGCATTTATTTTTAAACGATTTAACCCCCCCAAAAAAAACCTATATTATGGATGAGAGGTCGCATTGGCAGTCGCAGATTTCGCCATGGCAGCGAGCTTCAGAACTCTATATGTTGCAACGTTCTGACACGCCCGGTGGCTCGGAGACCGGTGTTTTCCAGTAACCGTTTGTGTAAGTGGGCAAATTATCGACTGAAACGAGTCTTATGGACAAATTGTATTCCATATAAATGTGATAAAACGGACTTTTGTCCATCTATATATTTAAATTTATATTTTACCCACAACCAACCACAAGTATAAAATGCGTATGCATTTTCAACTTAAATTCTCCCCATTCCTCACTTGAAATGGGAGATAATTTAGACGTTTCTAATACCCCATAAGATGAGCAAAGTGAAACACATTTCTATCAACATTTTCTTCACCTAAGGACTGTAGGTCATACGATGCTTATCGTGAATATCAGAATTCGTGGGTGCCTAGCAGTCGGAATGAGCCAAAATCTATTAAGGTGAGCCCTGTGACCGACAGACTGACCCCCCCCCCCCCCCCCGACGGACAGACGCATTTTCCCGTCGTGCGGATTTCATATCGCCGCCACCACCGGATTTTGCCCGTCGTCTCGTTCACCTGCTCCCTGAGTGCGCGGTTTTCCCTCGCGACCTCGTCCGCACGAAGGTCACGGCGCTGCAGCTCACGGCGAAGAGCGGAGATCTCGCCCTCGGCGCGAGACAGCGATGCCACGAGCCCCTCGCTAGCCACTCGCAGCTCCTCCACCTGGGCCCGCAGATCGTCTGTGCGGGTGGGGGTGGGTGGGGGGGAAGGTGAACGCGGCCCAGTGATTCATTTCAGCCGCAAGAGGTCCCGGAACGTTGCTCCGGGGAAATAGTTTTGACAAACCACGCCACGTCCATCTTCGCCTAATTTTTGTCCCCATGATACTGCGGTGGTGTGTGCGAATACGGAGTACAGTAAAAAAAAAGAGGAATCGTTGTGGATTGGCGTACCATGTACTCTCGTGGTCGTGTGCCATGCCAATGATCCCCTATTCCCAAGGCACAAGCCCAGGCTAGCAGCGTTCCGGAAAATATCGAGCGAGAAATGAAACCCTGAAGAGGACACGCCTCATTGATTTTCTCCCGACAGTCGCCACGTGTTCTGGCTTTCCCAGGATCATCCTCTTTTCAAGGTAGTTTATCGTGTGCGGTTGTGGTGGTGGGTCGTAGTTACGTGTACATTCGTGTGTGTGTGTGTGTCCAGACGAAGGCCATATCATGAGCCCGAAACTGGGAGAAGCCATGACTGTGGTCACGGGGCACGGGAAGAATCCTCGCTCCTGTCTTTCTGCAAATGAGGGCAGCAGGCGCACCTATATCCCTGCGCAGCACGGCCGGGGAGTTGGAATTGAGAGATTCCTCCTCTGTCAGGTGCCTTTCCAGAGCCGTCACTCGGGGCAGGGCCTGTGACAGATGTCGGTATGGTGGTGGTGGTGGAGGGGGGGGGGGACAGATGGGACAAGCGGCTGATAAAATCTCGAGCGAGACCGCCGGCAGCAATTCACCCGCACGCCACAATCCGCCGTTCTGCATTTGTCGCCTCCATTGAAATGCAAACGAAAGCATTACGCATCGTAACTGCGTCCGATTGGCGGTGTGGGTGGAAAACCTGGAGTGGGATGCGGCGAAAGGACTGGAGATTGGAAAAAGACTGCATTAAGGCAGGCACGGCCATTCGGTCGTGCCGCATAGAATACGCGTACAGCAAAGCGTACTCGAAACGATGATTATCGGCCTGCACCGACATCACCTTATCTTGCATAAATCCTCACTGCGCTGTGATGAACACCGGCTGTAAGATAATGGCAAACAATAGCCGGAATCCAGCTCCATTGACCTCTCAATTGCGCACAGCCCGTTAACCAACGCGCAACCCACAGACAGCTCCATCAGTCATGGCCCACGCGAAGCCAAGCCAAGCGACGGCATCGCCGCACGCAACGGATCGAAGTTTCCCCGTGGGGGTCGACACGGCACACCCGAATGAAATGCGGCGACGTAGAAAAAAAAATACAAACCCAGTGCAGGCCGAAGTGGCACAGCGAGGAGCGCAGTGCCCACTCGACGCCCAGGGCGATGAAGACCGATGCCATCTCGTCGAAAAGACCGGCCTCTGCCCGCCAAACTTGCGCGGGGCGCGACGCATCCGAGGTCGCTCGTCGAAGTTTCGAAGTCCGCCGGCGTTCGGTGCCGGCGGACTCGGCACGGCGCCGTGGGTCCGCACGTCGGCCGATGGGTTAATGCCGGGCGTGCGTGATGCGAACGTCGAAGGTGCTGTGCGCTAAATTTAGATGCGCGGGGGGGGGGGGGGATTTGCTTAAGCCGATCATGTGGAATTGCCCGTGGGGTGGGCGTGCGACAGCCGCGCGCGTCTTTTTAAAAGCGCAAATCTCGCGACAACGCGTTTGCATGGGCTGCGTGCGTGTAGCCACGTGATAAGGGATTGTTTTTGTTGTTGTTGTTGTTGTGTTAGATCGCGTAAATGTGTGTCGTTGACCCACCACCAGTCGACACGGGTAATTACTAAGGTTTGTCACGAAAACAAAACGTTCCAACGACTTACTACTTCAGCACAACGCTGTGCTGAAGCAAAGTCGATGCCGCAGTGATTGAACTGTGGCCACACGCAGTGGGTAACGTTTTTTTTTTTGGGGGGGGGGGGTTAGATCGCGTCAGTATAAATATTTCGTAAACCCACCACAACCCGACACAGCCAATTAGTAAGGTTTGTCACGTTACTACTGCAGCACACCGCTGTGCTGAAACGGTGACTCATTGGCACGTTTTGTTTGCGTGACAAACCTTACTTGTTGGCTGTCGTGTGGTGGCGGGTTAACGACACATTTATACTGACGCGATCCAACCCCCCCGACAAAAAAATACGTTATCACGAATAATATTGGTCGTGAATACAGTAGCCACAATTCAAACGCTGCGGGATGTACAATTGCGTGGTAGGTTTATCAAATGAACCGGCAACTATTTTGGGGACAGGTGCGTAAACGAATATTTTTATTTTACCCCATCGTCACTCAAAAGCTGTAGCTTAGTGGATGACCAAAATCGCCCGGAATGTACTCGACCTAGTCAGGTCTCAGAAGATAAGCAGGTTTGAGCCCTGATACAGTAAGAGCGATGGTGGGTGATCACCGTGTAGGGCTGCCGTGGGGCCTGAATTGTCAGGGAAAGGGACAGCCCAGCAAATCCCACTGCTTGCACTGCACGAGGCTCCCATTGTCAGTGCTCCTCGCATTCAGCAACTCGCACTCGACAGTGTGGTGAAGTATGGTCAAATAATCCCCATGAAGTTGATTGGCTTAAGGGCTGCACTTGCACCATGTTGCCCAAATGTTGTGAGTGTTAAACCCATTTATGCAATGCCGGGGGTACAGGTCAACTGAATATGAAGATAAATGGAAGGGTGGGTGAGAGAGTGTGGAGTCGAGACGCGCTCTATACTTTAACTTTATACAAACAAAGACAAAGATCCTCCCATATCGCCTTTTACAGACTGCTGGACTGTTACAGACACACAAAGACAAAAATCCCCCGTTGGGGCAAGTGCTGCTAGCGAGCATCTATGAAGGCCGGAACGGTACACGAGGGGGTGGGTGGCCAGCACCACGCCCGACCGCCTTTGTCTCCCTAGTGGCAATGTTTACACACCGCACCAGGTACTCATTTGAGGCTGAGTCGACCTAGGGGAGGCCTGGGACCGGTTCAGATAATCGTCACTGGTGTTGGCCGTGAGCGGGAATCGAACCCGGGTCGCCAGGTTCATAGCGCAGCGCGCTAACCGCTACACTATCGCTCCCCACAACAGACACACACAGACACACACACACAGATACACACAGACAAAGATCCCCCATATAGCCTTAACAGACTGTAGGGGCAAGTGCTGTTAGCAAGCACCTATGAAGGCAGGTAACGGTACACGAGGGGGTGGGTGGCCAACACCACGCCCGACCGCCTTTGTCTCCCTAGTAGCAATGTTTACACACTGCACCAGGTAATCATTTGAGGCTGAGTCTACCTAGGGGAGGCCCGGTTAAGATAATCGTCACTGGTGTTGGCCGTGAGCGAAAATCGAACCCCGTGTCGCCGGGTTCATAACGCAGCGCGCTAACCGCTACACTACCGCTCACCACACACAGACACACACACAGACACACACAGACACAAAGACACAGACACATACGCGCCCACTCCCATTCACTGGCCATTGCCCCATGAGTGGAATTGAATTGTTTACCTTTATTCCTTGGTTCTTTCGGTAAAGTCACGTAGAATCAAATTAAATTAAATAATAATAGAGTACGACGTTTCGATTACAACACAAGCAACCATCATCAGGTACAAATGAATGAGAAAACAAACATAGTTAACTTGAAAATATAATGCAATACAACACAGAGAGTCGGCCAACAAAACAGTCAACTCTCCACCTGGTTACCTGATGATGGTTGCTTGTGTTGCAATCGAAACGTCGTATTCTATTATTATTTTATTGATTTCTACGTGACTTTACCGAAAGAACCAAAGAGTAATTCCTGTGGTCACGAAAGCTTCTAATCAAGTTTGTTAACCTTTATGTTTGCCAACGGAAGGCCTTACGCTGCAGCATTTGAGTTTGCAATATTTGCAGATTAACGCCGAAGCGGCTTTGGCTTCCCTCGCTACAGGAACCTTGCGACAATAAGCGAAGTCGTAGCAACAGTGTTTGCGGAGGCAAGAGCATTGTTATTTCTGGAGATTAGGCCAACTGCCAACAGGTAAAAGCCATATTCTTGGTTCTTTCTGTAAAGTCACGTAGAAGGGAAACAATAAAATAATGAAAATATAAAACAATACAATTCTCACGACTGCAACACAAGGCGTCGTGAGAATTTTATTGTTTTATATTTGTATTATTTTATTGTTTCCCTTCTACGTGACTTTACCGAAAGAACCAAGAATATGAATCCCTGCAGTCACGAAAGCTTTAAATCAAAAGGTAAAAGCCAATTAAAATTGACACCTGTTGTTTCACACACAGAAGTTGTTACACCTGCAATTTAGAATAACCCCCCTTTGTCAATCCACTGCTGGATTTATTATAATCATAATTTACATTTGTAAGGAGCATTTCATGCAAGGGTCCCAATGTGCACCCGGGTATGGAAAGCTGGGAAAAAAAACTCGGGAGCCAGCTTAAACGACCGGGAACTATGGGGGGAAAGGCTATTTTAAAGAGGTGAGTTTTCAGGGCAGATTTAAATAGCTCTAGAGATTGTGATTGCCTTGTAGTGATCAGAGGCAACGCATTTCCGTAAGTCTTGGAGCTGCACTGGCGAAAGCCCGATCACCCGCAGGAACGGAACGGAGCCTCGACCTCGGAATACGAAGGGGATCAGAAGATCTCAAGGACCTCGTTGGTGCATGGAAGTGTCATCGTTTCCTGAAATGTGGGGCTAAGACCTACACAACGCCATGTCGGTCACGGCGCTTGTTTGACCATACTTCACCACGCTGGTGAAGGTGATGGGGGGGGGGGGCAGGACAAGTTCATCGTCACTCGCCACCTATGTCAACCCATACATGTCAACCCCTTATCAGTGCCTCCCTTACTACAGACCAATGCAGACCTTATTGGTCACCCCGTGCCCTTGTAAATCTCAACGTTCATCTTACAAAGTTCCATCACAAAGGAGAAACACAAACAAATCGGCACTTTTTTTGTTTTGCTCCGTGTTGAAACGGCTGTACGCTGCATGGACCTGAAAACTCAACTTCCCTGTACAAGAATACGGGGTAAACCGCATGGGTTAACACGGTATGTCAACCATGGCCAAGAATATAACTCGGCGTTTGATGAGTTCATAGCGCAAGGCACTTATCATTACCTCGCACCGAGGTGCTTGTGCCAGGCCAGGTGCACTTCGAGGCAATGGGGAAGTGTCGAGGCCACGTTGGCAGGAGGTCACGGTCAAGGGTTGGTGGTTATGGGTCACCACATAGGCCACCACAAATGTTGTTAAACTCTCTACCCGTGAGCATCAAGGTATGACACCTTGACACGTCAAGGGCATGGCACCCTGGATTGCCAGGAGAAGGCAGTACAGAAAGTGGACTCATCGCCATCTGTTTCCATCTGTACGAGGATACAGTATTGATGACGAGTCCTACGACTCGGTGTGCCTTCCCTCGATAAGTAAGTACATTATCATTATAACAATCGTGATTATAATGTAATTGTTAAATGTGCAGTGGCGGAGGCAGACCTGGACAATGCCAAACTCCAGCAGTGCAGACACCGTGTCTCCTGCACTTGGCATCTCGTAATCCCACCGTCGGGCGGTGCACTCCCCCGCGATGAGTGACATCCCATCCGACGAGCCGTCCAATGTCCGATACGCGGCCCTCTCGGTCTCCACGGGCGAGCTGCTCCCGCGCAGGGGAAACCCTCGTGGCTCGAGAGGGACGAGGGAGCTGAATTTGGAGAGGGCATTCTCAAACTGTGAATTCAGCAGCTGCTCAAAACTTTCGGGCACTCGAGGCGCAAGTGTTCTTGTCCAGCTCGTGCGCACCGATCGCTCTCCGGCATGCCCCTGGGAAAGGCGTTGCTCATAGTCGGAGTCGATGGCGTGCGACGGCGTCTTGTTCTTGGCAGAGGCGGAAGAATCGAGCGGGAGATGCGTGGGAATCTCGGCGATGCCACTTTTGCGAAACGGTAAAGTCTCGGTGTCCACGGCGGACGGAGCGGTGCGCGAGTGACCGACATGCGTGCTAACGCCTCTCTCGTCCCACGCAGGATGTAACGGGAGCAACTTTTCACCAGCAAAGCGTGCACCATTCAAGCCTGAATGCTCCGAATATAATCTACCTGAACTGCGGTGACTCTTGTCAAAACGCGATCCTGGACCGGGGGGGTCACCCTCCAGAGTTGTCTCCCCGTAAAGGCCGTATGCGGCTGCTCGTTCGGAAGCGGGCACATCGTACGAGCTCGGTCGTTGTGTTTCTGTGGCGCTGATGTCCTCATCATCTTCTCCTTCGCCATTCGAGCGCAGGCAATTCTGCCACGCTGCAAACTTGCGCGCCAGACTCTCACGGTTGTCGTAGCTGCGGGGTTCGAACACGCTGTTGGTGGGCGCCTTCCACATGGACATGCCGCGGGGAGCGCAAGATGTACTTTTGTTGTTGTTGTTGCTGCTGCTGCTTACGATGTCCTAATATCCGCCAAACTCGTCCGCCCCCTCCTGTGAAACAAAGAGGGAGGCGTGAACGGCCGATGAATCATTGACCGCGTGGACATTCAACGTGGCCGTAAGAACCCGTGGTACTTTGGGCAGTAGAAAAAAAAAACAAACGTAATTTAAGCAAATAAATACAAATCCTTTTAAGCTTCGTGTAATATTAACCAACAACGGCAAACATAGAATAAGGGAACGTGTGCTATTGAGTTGAGCGGTGACACTGTGATGCGTTTGCATTGTGCTGTCAACCTTGCTACCTGGATTTGATTGGCAGCCGCGGTTAACATCAGTGGCGGGCGATATCTGACCCCCGATTCACCAATCCACATTGACCAGCATGACGAAGTTTGGTCAGAAACACCGCCAAGACCAACACGGCCTGCCTGCCTGTCCGGAAGGCTTTGCTCCAATTTTGGTTTGATAGAAAGGCTGGCAATAATTTTTTTTCTTCTTATTTTTCAAATTGAGTTGAAAAAAAGACTGTCAAATTGGAAAGCTTGTCTCTTCCACACACACAAACACCCCCCACCCCCGTATAGCCTCAAACAGAAACAAACCATTGGGGCAAGTGCTGTCAGCGAGTGGCACGACACACGAGCGGGTGGGTGGCCAGCACCACGCCGAGCCGCCTTTGTCTCCCTAGCGCTGATGTTTTTTTGTTTTTACCGCACCGCACCGGTTCCTCACTTGAGGCTGAGTCGACCTCGCGGAGGCCCACGACCGGTTTCAGATAATCATCGTCACCGGTGTTGGCCGCGAGCGGAAAGCGAACTCGGCTCGCCGGGTTCGTAACGCGGGGCGCTCACCGCTGCACTGCCGCACGCGCACACAAACGGCGCCTCCGAATAGCACGGTTGGCCACGTACGGTGCGAAAGAAGTCCAATGTACACGCGCGCACGCAAAAATCACTCACTCGCGTTGATGCTTGCCCCCTTCACTCGTCCGTGCGCTCACATCCAGAGCCTCCGAGCCCACGGCCGAGCAGGAGCCGAGACAGCGACGATGATGATGATGGTCGTGGTTGCTAATCCACGACCTCTTGTAGCCTCCACCCCCCTCCTCCTCCTCGTCGTCAAGCCCACATGGAGCTGCAGAAGTGACCTGCATGGTGTGGGTGGGGTGTAGAGGGGGGTAGGGGTGGGTGGGTGTGTGTGGGGGGGATGTGCACGGTAGGGGGGGGGTGATAGTGGGGAGCGGTAGTAAAGACATCGCCACTGGGGAGACAAAGGCGGCCGGGCGTGGTTGCTGGCCACCCACCCCCTCGTGGTGCCGTGCCGGCCTTCACAGCTGCTGCACGCTCACAGCACTTGCCCCGACAGTCTGTTAGAGGCTACGCGGGCGATCTTTGTCTTTGCACTGCAGGGGGCAGGGGGGATCGAGAATCCCCGCACGCTGCACCCCCCCCCCCCCAGCGTTGCCACGGTGACCGGGGGGGGGGGGCAGCAGCAACACGAAATCGGTGGTCGATGTCTTTGTTCAGACCTGGATGCTGCTGCTGCTGCTTCTGCGAGCATCAGAAGAAAAAAACACGCACACACGTGTTAGAGCACAAGTGTCTGCGTGTGTGTGTGTGGGGGGGGGGGCGGGGGGGGGTAGTTAACACCGCCACTGGGGAGACAAAGGCGGCCGGGCGTGATTGCTGGACACCCACCCCGTCGTGTGCCGTGCCGGCCTTTATAGGTGTGCTGCTCGCCAACAACACTATTGCCCATCAGTCTGTTGCAAGCCATACGGGGGAGGGGGGGTATTTGTGTTTGGGGGGGCAGGTGATGCAGTGGTTATCACTTTGTGCTGCGAACCCGGCGAACCGAGTTCGATTCCCGCTCACGGGCAAAACACCGGTGGCGATTATCTGAACGGGTCCTGGGCCTCCCTTAGGTCGACTCAGTCTCAAATTAGTACTTGGTGCGGCGTGTGAACATCGCCACAAGGGAGACAAAGGCGGCCGGGCGTGCTGCTGGCCACCCACCGCCTCGTGTGCCGTGCCGGCCTTCGTAGATGCTCGCTGACACCACTTGCCCCTACAGTCTGTTTCGGCTGTACGGGGCATCTTTGTTTTGAGTGGTGGCGTAGTGGTGTAGCGTACTGCTTAATTAACCCGGCCACCTGAGTTCGATTCCCTGTCACGGCCAGAATCAGTAGCGAGTGATATCTGAACCGGTTCACGGGGTCTCCCTGAGGTGAACTCAGCCTTTCATGAAGACCTGTTGTGCCCTGTGGGAATATCGGCACTTGGTAGCTATGGTGTTCATCACACCACCCCCCTCCTCGTGTGCTGCCGTGCCAGCCTTCATAGTTGTTCACCAACAAAGTTTGTCCCAACATTCGATAGGCTTCACCAAGAGGGATGTGTTTGCTGTGTGTGCAGCAAGCGTTATTATTTTAACAACAACAAAAAGATTTCCTAAACTCTGAAGCCGCCACATGGCAACCTAACATAAATAATGGAAAGGGGGTTTGAGATAAAACAAGCAGAGACCCATTGGACGAATACAAAGCACGCCTCATGGCGTCCAAGCTTTTCTTTCTTCTGCCTCTTGGTAGAGTCAACTGTTAAGAGTGACCAACACCATTCATGCTTTCCAACTCCGCAAACACTTTTCCTCCACTCTGGACTCCCAAAGTTCACAATTGCTAAGGCCATGAAGTCCACAATGCCGCTGTTGGGATGGTCACTCAAACCTGCTACTTATGTAATGGGTTACACGGGGACATACACCTGACTTTGGAGTCAACACGTTTATTCTAACACCTCAACAAGGTGACTACATAAACGTACGGGATAACGACATAGGTGGTAACTACCACGGGTAACTAGACCCCAACGGGATAACTACATAACCGGGCCAGGGCAGTAACATACTGCCTCACCCACGATGTCGAACGTTACGACCGAAAATCGACGAGAACGATGCACGGTGGGTTACATTGCAGAAGACAGCCCCGATCGGCTCTCGGGAACTCTCTCTTATGCCCCTGAGCGTGGCCTGGCTCCGCCCTCGGCTACGCCCCCTTCTGGATCTAACTAGAAGGTTCTGGGCCATACATCACGTGTCCCTCTCGCCACTTTTTGGCCCCCCTCGCTACCCTGTCCTGGTCACATGCCCTCTCGGGTTCACCCAGACTGTCACATCCTTAACTGCCCTCTCTCTGACAGTCACCAGAACCATACCCCCTAGGGGCCCCTTCCATGCCATACATACTCTGGTGCCAGAGAGAGGCTCTAACACCCACAGTCCCATTCTTGTATCAGTAGCTAGCGCTAAACGCCGTAGTGACTCAATATACGTCACTACACTAATTCACAATGTATACATTATTCCAGTCACTGCAATGGCATTGGCTAAATATTTCAACTCCAGCAGCATCAATAACGCATCTTCAGAACCTTTCATGTAATAGTTTCTGCTAATCACATATCTTGAATATTTTTAACTTGCCTCAACATATTTTCTGTTTCAATTTCTTTCCACATTTGCACAGTTCGACTTTTCATGGTGCATTTTTACATAATTTAGAGGCCTCTTACAAATGTAAATAATTTTCATGATATGACACGGTTGGCTATGTACGTTGCGAAAGAAGTTCAACATACAAACAATGCACTATTTTGCTGTTGTGATGGGAAATTTTCGTCATTTACATATTTCATTATTGGTCTAAACGTCCCTGGTCCCAATGTTAAAGTAACACCACCTCCCAATGGCATCTCACCTCGTTTAAATAAAGCATATTCTTCAATGAATGAGGGCTTTATTTGACATCACGAGAGCACACGCCTGAAAGCAACACCGACTTAATTTTTTTTCTCATTCAGGATTGTGGCACAGCAAGACCGTGGACGATCCGGCAGTCGATAGATCGTAGCTGATCGTAATCATGTGGTGAGTGGCCTACATCCAACAGTGCTTCTCTGACAGGGGCGGAGTCACAGGTGGGGCTGGGGGGGGGATTGGCCCCCCCTGACATTTTGGGAAAGTCGGTAATCGGGATAACCGGATATCTGGCTGCTGCAAAATGCTGCAGGCTGCCACCTTGTGCTGCCCTGCAGGCTGCTTGAGCGGCAGCCTTTCGAACTTATCGAACTTATTAGCCACATCAGCGGCTCTGATCTATTAATAAACTCCGCGTTCAAATCCAATAAAATTTGTTTTATATATTTGTGGCGCCTATTGGAAAACATAAAAACTGGATATCTCTCAGAATATTGAAGTCAGCCCCCCCCAAAGTCAAAATCCTGGCTCCGCCCCTGTTCTCTGATAAATAATTAGGCCTTCTTATAGCAGTGGATATATCATGGCTGATGATAAATGCGACTGGCTCGCTAATTTCATTTCTGGAGGACATTTTCCAGGGTTCCCCCAGTACTCAAGACACCAGCCCACCTTCAAGACAGCGTAGTGTGGGACAGACGTGGTGATGGGGGGGGGGGGAGTTCATATTCAGCCCTAAATAGATCCGGCGATATTTTTATTTTCCTGAAGATGTTCACGTAGTTTAATGTGAAGTGTCGCATTTCGCTTGCATACAAGCGACACGTTAATGTTTCTGGCTACGTTGGATGTTTGGAGGGTCTTACCACACAAATTTGACGAGATCATCACACAGCACAACACAAACATCACTAATGCTCAAATACAATTTTAGTTGCCCAAGTCTTGCGAGTAGAATATTATGAACAGTGTCAAATGTTTTTGACAGGTTGAGGAATAGTGCACAGCAGTAGTGGCCTTCATCCAGGTTACAAGATAAAATGTAATACTGTGCTGTACATCCATAATTTCTGCAGTGGTACAGTAATCCTCTCGAAAGCATGTTTACTCTGCAGGAGATTTAATTTGTAGGTCACAGTTAAAGTATTTTTTTTCGAATATATCTTAGTAATTGGATAAATAGTAGAGATGTGTATAATTATTAGGTTCTTCTTTGGAGCAATATTTACATACTCTACTGAACTGGCCGAATAAGAGGCGGATTTCCACTCGAGTGACCTTTGGTCATTGAAAGACTGAATATGTGTGTGAGGGGTTTATAGATGACATCTGCCACAGCCACAAATGCAGGTAATTAGTATTCTCCTGTGGCATGATGATTGTCTTAATTGATGCTAGCCTTTGCAGTACGTGTGTAGGGATGTATATGGAGTCGCAGTAGTGTAGCGCCAGTACCGAGAGCAGAGTGGAAGTTCTTCTTTGGTTCTTTCGGTAAAGTCACGTAGAATGAGAATAAAATAATACATTGATAAAATAAAATAACACAATAATATTCTCACGACGTTTCGGCCACAACACAAGCGGCCTTCATCAGGTGAAGGGACGAGACTGTCTGGTAGGACAGCGCTGGAGTGAGTATGTCAACGCTGTGTGCAAAAATCCCAGTGGGATGGAAGTCAAACAATAACAACCATAAGACAATTTAGATTAAAGTTATCAGGCTAACTCTGTACTACAACAAACAAAAATGGCGAAACCGAAACATTTTCCAAATCACCAAAATAAAGCTATACAAACAATTTAAGTGATCATAGGAACTGTGATTCAAATTTAACAATAAACGATATACATAACATGTACGACCAAACTTTGCAGCCATAGCTGGCTGTATGAGTCACTCCATAATAGCAGGGGTATCAGTAGCAGTATACAAAATTTTCAGTACATTATGAGACCTCCTTTGTCAGTAGCAAGATATAGTAATAGGTTTTTACCATTTTATCTGGCACCAAAACTGACACCTTTATACAAGGAATCATGTTTGCAATAACCACAACACAAGCAGTCAAAATGCAAACAAAAAAAGACAACTCTGATAATGATATGCACTGTCCTTGTATAAAGGTGTCAGTTTTGGTGCCAGATAAAAGCGTAAAAACCTATTACTATATCTTGCTACTGGCAAAGGAGGTCTCATAATGTAAATGCTTACCCCGAGCTCTCAATACTCTGATAGTGTGCTGTTTTTGAGTTGTACGCCTTTTGGCGTCATCTGGTCCAACACCAGTGGAGACTAGGCTCTAAGAAAAGCCGTCTCGGGTGTGGACCAATCAATTTAAAGGACAGTACATATCATTATCAGTTGTCTTTTTTTTGCATTTTGACTGCTTGTGTTGTGGTTATTGAAAACATGATCCCTTGT